AACCAGTGGAACAACCTGCCTCCAGAAGCGGTGAATGCTCCAACACTGGAAGTTTTTAAGAAGAGACTGGACAGCCATTTGTCCGAAATGGTATAGGGTTTCCTGCCTGAGCAGGGGGTTGGACTAGATGACCTTCAAGGTCCCTTCCAACTTTACTATTATTATTATTATTATTATTATTATTATCTTTCTAGGAAGTGTGTTTGGATCGTCAAGGAGAACAGATTTGGTGAAATGATTGGATTTTCAGGGGTTGTTGGAGATGTTGGATGTTTTCAGAAGATGTTGGAAAAGGAAGCCTAGCAGTTCTGCCTTTGCAGCCATTCTATAGGTAGAGGATCCAAATGAGAATAACAGAATAAAAGTTGGAGGTTTTCTAATCCAACCCCCTTCTCTAGCAGGAGGCCTATACTATTTCAAACAAGTGTTTGTCCAATCTGTTCTTAAAAAGCTGCAGTGATATAAGGCAAGCTGCTCCACTGATTAATTGTCAGGAAACTACTACTTATTTCTAAGATGGATCTCTTCTTGACTGGTTTCTTATCCTGCCCTCAGGAGCTTTGGGGAATAGTTACCCTCTCCTTTGGAAGACTGATATCATGTCATTCCTAGTCCTTCTAGAATAGCGGCTCCCAGCCTTTTCTATACCCCGCACCCCTAGAACGCTTCTGATATATTCTCGCACCCCTTACAAAAGTTTGAAAGAACGGCAATGAATTATGCATATAGACTATAATTTTGAAAACCCACGTTTTCGCACCCCCTGGAATATCGTCTCGCACCCAGTTGGGAACTAGACATACCCAATTCCTGAACTAGACATACCCAATTCCTATAATATATATTAGCCTCCAGTCCCCTAATCATCTTTGTTGCTCTTCTTTGCCCTCTTTCTAGAGTCTCAGCATCTTCTTATATTGTGGTGACAAAAATGGAATGCAGTATTCTAAATATGGTCTTACTAAGACTTTATAAAGTGGTACTAATGCTTCATGTGATCTTGATTCTGTCCCTCAATCAATGGGCAATCGTTTCATGCAGTGTAGGTAAAGTTTAGCAAAAGCCATTGTATTTGTAAGTCTGGGAGAGGTTTGTTGTTGCAATAGACTAACTAACAATTGACTAGCATGCTTTTAAATTACAATTCCTAGCTCATGCATAGAGAGTGCCTACACATAATGTTAAGATTATTTATAAATCATAATGTATTCAACAAGTCATTATATCCTTATTGTACATCAAGATAAAACAAACAAACCACACTATAACGTAAATGTAGGGATGAACCAGGCTATGACAGTCCAGAATTCTAAACAGAGTTTGCAATAGTGGCGAATAGTGCTAGCAACTGGGCCACACAAACAAGCAAAGCCCCATCCGCGGGATGCAGGCAGCACACAAAACCACGCCCCTTCCGGTCCGCAAAAAAACCTCTCCATGTAACCGATTTCTGGTGCCCAAAACGTTGGGGACCTCTGGTGTAGGCTATTTCTATCTTGATTCATTTTCTTGTACAAATCTCTGGTCTTTGAGCCTCTTGAAAAGTACTTACAAGAAAACTGGTTCAGTAAACTAATTTACTGTAATATTTTAACAGACCTTATGTTGTGTATTAAAGTAATTGGGTACATTACAATATCTTATTATGGCCTCAACAGTATTAAAGTTGAGAAATTAAGATTTTGTAATGAGCAATATAGCAGTCATTTATAAATAGACAAACTTTTCTCTTAAGCATTTTATGAGAGTGCCAAGTAAAGCAGAGATTATGATTCATATATCCTTCTCTTTTATCAAATTTCAAATCTAGCTGTTTTCAAATAGCATGGGATATCTTGTTTAGTACATACAGGTAATCCTCGACTTGCAACAGTTCATTTAGTGACCGTTCGAAGTTACAGTGGCACTGAAAAAAATGACTTCTCGCCATTTTTCATACTTACGACCTTTGCAACATCCTTGTGATCACATGATAAAAATTAAGACACTTGGCAACTGATTTATATTTATGACCGTTGCAGTGTCCTGAGGCTAAGTCAGTGGGGAAACCAGATTCAGTTAACAACCCTGTTACTAACTTAACAACCATAGTGATTCACTTAACAACTGTGGCAAGAAAGGTTGTAACAAATGTCTTATTTGGCAACAGAAATTTAGGACTCAGTTGTGGTCATAAGTCGAGGACCACCTGCATATACACACACACACATATATATATATAGTTAAGCTATTGCCTGCATGTTTTTCTAAAGAAGTCTAAAATGCTTTTTGTACTTTTGGTATCAGGTTGATAAAACACAGCAAATTTCTACTTACCAAGAAGTGATCCGCGGAGAAGGAATATTGCCAGATGGTGGCGAATATAAGCCACCTTCTGAGAACCTGAAAAGCAGAGATTATTATTCAGACTTCATCATTACTTTGGCAGTTCCCTCTGCAGTTGCACTGGTGCTTTTTCTAATACTTGCTTATATTATGTGCTGCCGGCGGGAAGGAGTGTGAGTACTTTGAAGCATTAATATGTGACTGTACATTTTTGTAAAGTTCTACACACGCAAAAAGATTGTTAGGTTCAGCTTAATTCAGTTCATAAAACAGTGCTTCGTATTATCTAAAACTTGAACTAAAATGAAATTTCTACCATTATCTTTCAAGCTAGCAATCTTAATTTGTTAAGAAACTGAAGAAGAAATTTAAGCTTGTCTCATTTGGAATTAAAAGTAGGAAAAATGTCTTTCTAATAATTAAAATAAACTTTCTTGAGATTGTGAACTGACTTTTAGGACAATAAAAGCCAAAGAAAGCATTATTAAAAAGCAGCGAGCAACATATCATCAAATCCATTTTTTATTACAGTCATAAGAAAGCAAACATAGTCCTCTTCCATTTTACATGCACATGTTCTAGGGACCTTTTAGTCCATCTTCTATCTTGCATATTCATGTCTTTATATCTGTGTTATTCCTCTTTTTCATTTCTTTCTATGCCTTCACCCATGCCTTCTCATACAGTTGTGGTAATGCTCCTGAAGGACATGAAACTCAGGTTATGATTCAAGCTTCTTGTATTAATGCAGAAGCCCACAGTTGCAGACCCGGCTGAAGTGTTCTGCAAAGGGCGGCTACTTCCGATTCCACAGCTGAAAGGGACCTTCTGTTTGAGAACAGCTTGGCTGGTGGCTGCTGAAGCTGCTGGGGCAGCCCTTTGGGGGGCCATGCCAAGTTCTGGTTCTTTTATGGCTTTTTTGGATCATGATCCTGTTGTAATAAAAGCCAGCATTTCCATCCCTGTTTCCATCAGCATTTAGTTTTAATGTTCCAAATATCAATGCTATTATTTAATTCATAACTTTTGTTTTATTTTTAGGGAAAAGAGAAACATGCAAACACCAGAGTAAGTGTCTTCTTCTTTCTGGTTATTTTCTCCCATCTTTTAATTTAAGCATTTCCTAGGAGCTTCTCATTCTTCATGTACATGTATACCATTTTCATCCTCATTATCTTGTCCTTCATTACCAACTTAGCTGCTTTGAAAAAAAAACACTTATAAGGAGTTGAGTAGCGCAAAATAAAAAGGGTTAAAAATTAATAATAAAATAGATCAAAACCAAAATTTGTATTTTGGAATTTTGAAAGGACTAAATCTATATCTAAAGGTAATTCTTCAACAATCCTTACAGATCTGCTGAACTATAATTCTAAAATTCCTAGTGAGCATCCTCTTGCTAACTGGGAATTCTGGGATTATAATTCCATCCTATCTGTAAGGTACCTCCTTTTGATAAATATTCATAGGGTATTGAAAAGATTAAAATTGTGATTTGTGAAAGGAGTGCCTTAAGTTCAGAATGTTCCTTCTATGAATAAGGAGCTGAATAGTTATAATATTAAAAAGCAATAATATATGAACTTGATTGTATAGAATTCCTTCAGTGGAATAGATTTCTGATACTTAATAGCAGAAGGAGGAAATTCTGACCCTCATAGTATTGCCAAATTACGATTTCCTGGAACTCAAGCAAGATTGTCCATGCTGGGAACTGTGTAATAACAACATCTGAAAGGATATGGATTGCTCATCCATTTAAAACAAAAATGGGGATATATTGCCCTTTTGGTGTTGCTAAATACATCTCTCAGCACTCCTTAGTGTGAACAATGCTGGCTGTGGATAATGGCAATTTTAATTCCGTAATGTATGAAGGACTACAGTTTTACAATGTTAGTTATATAGCACAAATAGGTTAAACAAACATGTAGATTATATTGAATCTATAAAGTTTTTACAGAATTAAATGTAAAGTCAAACTAGAAGCAATGTACATTGTAAGACAGAATTTTAACAAGGTTACTATTCTAAATAACAACCATGTATTTTTTGACAGCTTCTCATTCCATTAATTTTCCAGTGTATATTGCTTTTGATTCTAAGAAAGGTGCTTTTGGTATCAGTGGAAATTTCTTCTCTGAAACAAATTTCAGTTGGTTTTGGAAGAGGGAGATTTAACCATAATGATCTAAAGGGATAATCCCCCCTACACTATATATTGTTATTTCATTATGATCTGGTCTTTGCAAGTGTTATGTAGGAAAAGGTATCTCAAATACAGTAAAGTTCAGATCATCAGTAAACTCCCAGATTGTCCATGCTGGGAACAGTGAGGAACTGGGAATAGATTTAATGGGCTGAATGAAATTTTGCAGGTTTTATATAACCAACTTTCTTTATTTCTACCTACCTACCTACCTATTTACCATAACAAACAATATTATTTTGGTATAATGTTGTCCTTATTTAATGATTATCCTATTTAGCAACTGTTCACAGTTATGATAGTGATGAAAAATGTAACTCTATGACCAATCCTTGCATTTGCAACCTTCACAGGTCTAAAAAACAAAGGAAACCTAAAGTAAGATCATAAGCACAGTTTCACTTAGTAGTTGTTTCATTTAATGACTGGACAATTGTTAAATGAGGACTATCTCAGTGGGTGTATGTATATATCTATATACTATTAAAACTCTAGTGTGTATTCAGTGGTGGCGAACCTATGGCACGGGTGCCAGAGGCGGCACTCAGAGCCCTCTCTGTGGGCATGTGCGCCGTCGCCCCAATCCTAGGCCTTCAGCTGGGTTTTATAAAACCTTTTCGCTTTAGGCATCCGCTGCCGTGTGCAAAAAAAAAAAAAGGTTCAATCAATCAGTCAATTTCAACTTCTCACAGGAAAAAAAGATCTTGCAAAGTTGGAATTGATTGAACTTTTTAGTCCCACCCAGTCTGCCGTTACCACCGCAGCCATGCCCACCCAATGGGCCACACCCTCCAATTGGCCACACCCATCCAATGGGCCACACACACCCGGCACCTGACGATGCATAAGTGGGTCTTGGGTTGCAGTTCGGTCTCTAAAAGGTTCGCCATCACTCGTCTATTTGATAGTTTGCAATGTTCCCCAAAACTGCATCATCGGGCAAAACTTTGCCTACAAGGTTACCTCAAATGAGCTAACTTAACAGAGTGCAAGGACCTATTATTCCCAAAGGAATTAAGTTCAGGAATTTTGTTGCTGCATCTTTGCTGCTGCTCTTTAGTGCTACCACACTCCACTGTCAGCTGCTGTCATGTGAGCCACATTTTCATTGTTCCCTGACAGTTTCCCATAAGTCCATGGGGAACCCAGAAGGAACTGGTGTGATTGTCGGCACTCCTTGCCACCTTCTCTAGCAAACTCTTTGCTTGTGGGAAGCTTGTAGGAAGAAAGTCAGTGAAGAAATGGTGCATCCTCCACCAGTCCCTCTTAATTTGCACATGCCATCTAACCGCATACTCCCTTGGTCCCTTCCCCTGCAGAGAAGAGAAAGTAGATGGAGAGAAGGAAAAGAGGGGAAAAGGAAACAAGGACTAGGGAGAAAGATGGGGAGGGGAAGGGGGAAAGGAGAGAGGAAAGGAATGAAGATTTCCAATGTCAACTGCCAAGTTCCCACAAGGAAGCTCAGTGAAATTGGAAGTTCACACTGAATTTTTGCCTGCCTCTTTTTCTTTGCTTATGTGAGGAAATAGCTATGCAACCATAACCCAATTGGTTACAGGTTGTCCTCTGTGTGGTGGGGTTAGGGGCATGTGTATGTGTAAGATTTCTTTCCCCAAAAAATAATTCAGTAATTTTTTATATAGATCATTATTTGACAATAATTTGTTTGAGATTATATTTTGCAGTATTCATTATGACAAAGTCTATTTTAAAAAATGTTTCTTTTTTACCTAGTATTCAGCTGGTCCATCACAGTGCAATCCAGAAATCCACAAAAGAACTTCGGGAGATGTCAAAAAACAGAGAGATAGCATGGCCACTCTCAACACTTCCTGTTTTTCACCCAGTCACTGGTGAGATTGTACCACCTGTTCACCCAGACAATTATGACAATACTAGCATGCCACTGATGCAAACACAACAGTAAGTATCAATACAGTATTTTAATTGAATTTTGATAGAGATCTGTTAACCTTTTTCACTACAAAACTATTATCACAATGCTACTTTTTATAAGACAAAGTTTTCAGCCTATTTGTGGTCCTACAGGTGTTGAAACTACATTCTCAGAATGTTGGTTGAGGATTCTGGATTTTATTCCCAGCTCTTCTAGACTGTGCAGAAGATAGGAAAACTGCTTGTAGAATAACTTCGGCTTTGCATGTAGAACAAATTCTTGTAATTTACCTTTTGTTGTTTGTTTTTGAAACAGTAACTTACACAGTTTTTAAAGAAAATGATCTAACATTGTTACTCAGTTAATAGGACCTCAAACAACATTTCATTGTCTAATTTATCCCTTTAAGAAAGTGCTTGGTAACTTTCTCCATGCGAGCCAGAAGCCATGCCATTGCTGTCATTTCTGGGAGACTTATTGCTCTGACTTTGCTGAAGCAAATGGTGAATCGGAATGGGACCTTTAGGCTTCCACTTCGCCTCTGGCCAGCCGCCTCAGCCCATTTACAGCCAGTTTTCCTCTTCTGCTGGCCCTCCCCCAGCCATTCTCTTTGACCAATGAGTCCCTCACCCTCCCTTTAGCCCAGCCAATTCGCCCAGGCACCCTTTGTCCCAGGTGTTTTGCTCCTCGGGACAAGAAGCTACCACCCAAAGGCCAGAGGCAACAGAGAGCGACTGAGGGGACTGTGATTGGTGACAGGGAGAGAGAGCAGGATCTGCGGGGGATGGGGGGCAGACAAAGGCTGCTTGTGCATGGCTGCTGGGGGGGGCAGGAGGGCATTGGTGTTTGCACGTGGCTGGGAGGGTGCCTGGGGGAGACGACAGGCAAAAGCTGCTTGCGCATGGCTGTTTCTGATGTCTGGGGGCGGCGGCAGGACATTGGTGCTTGCATGCAGCTGGGTAGGATTCCTGAGTAGTTTAATGGTGCTGGGTCCGGTGGGGGGGGGTGTAGCTGAACTGCAACAAGGAGGAGGGGAAATGGGAAGCTGCCATGGGCAATGGGCAGATAGCAATGGGCAGGAACTTCTCATTTTGACCTCTCCCCACTGCTGTTGCCTCTGAGCCTAGACTCCAGCCTAAAACCAAATGGGCTATTTGGCTGCCCCCCACTGCCCCCCAGCACCAATGGACCTCCAGGCATCCCCCAGCTGCCACGCAAGCAGCGATGCCCTGCTGGTCCCCCGGCACCAGAAATAGCCACACGCAAGCAGCCTTTGCCTCCAACTACCCCAGGCACCCTCCCCAGGTGCCTGAAAGCATCAATGCGCTGCCTGCACCCCCAGCAGCCTCACACAAGCACCGATGCCCTGCTGGCCCCCCAGATATCAGAAACAGCTGTGTGCAAGCAGCCTTTGCCTGGTGCCTTCCCAGGCACCCTGCTCATCCGTGTGCAAACACCGATGGCCTGCTACCCCCAGCAGCCGTGCGCAAGCAGCCTTTGCCTGCTGCCTCCCACAGATCTTGTTCTCTCCTGTAACCTGTCACCAATCACAGCCCCCCTGGTCGTCATTCATTGCTGCCTGCCACTCGATTGGCTGGCGACTTATTTTCTGAGGAGCAAAATACCCTGGACAAAGGGTGCCTGGGTAAATGGGTTGGGCCAAAGGGTGAGTGGCGGAGAACCAGGGGCCATTGGCCAGGGAGAATTGCTGTGGGAGGGCCAATGGAGGAGGAAAGCTGACTGTAAGTAGGCTGAGGCAGATGGCCGGAGGCAAAGTGCCAGCCAACGGTTGGAGCCTAAAGGTACTAGACCCTAGTACATGGCTCCCCAAAGAGCAACAAGCAATCTCTCTCTGTGTAAAAAGCTGAATGAGTAGCTTATTTTTTGGAACCACAGATGACTTCAGGTGGTAGGCCATCTCTGGCCTACAGGTAAGAGGTTCATGATTCTTACTTTAAGATATCATTTATAGTGAAGAAAAACTGAATATATCTCTCCGAAATACTTCCGGGGATGAGACAAAGGATTAAAAGAAAAAGGATTAAAGAACATACATTTTACTCTCTTTTCAGTTTTCCCAGTATTGCCCTGTAGTATCTTAGATTTTCATAATACCATATTTAGATAAATCATAGATGCTATAGTAAGATATGGTATATGATGTCTGACTAGTTAGTTAATGTTTTAAAACAAGAGTGATTTATTCTTTGACTTGATTTGAGGTAGCACCACCACCACTGCTGCACAACAGTTATGCATGTTTGTAATGGAGAACAGTAATCAAAATGAGCACAAAACGGAAAATGATATATGATTCAGTGGAAAGATATTCTGGGAAGAAAAGCTTTAATTATGGTCATAAACATTTTATATGTAGCACATTAAGCATAAGTTGCTCCAAAGGTTTATATATTTTAGGACCTTGAATTATATATCCAGAATTGTTAATTGTGTACTTCACATAATAAGAACCAGCTTAAGTAAGTAATTTTTGGCATTTATAGATCTAAAGGCTAGGTTTATTGAGACACAATAGGGTAATATTAAATATAAATGTGTACCATTTTGTGATACTAAATTCCATTTAGTGATTTTTTTAGCAATGTCAAGGTCCAGAAGCAAAAAAAAATCTTAAAACTATAAGTTAATAAGCCTAAATGATTTGTTGATTAGGTGTCATCAAGTTGGTGTAGATTCCTAGGAGCCAGATAGATTTTCTCCATGATGAACTGTCCCCAACAGTCATTCAAGATTTCCAAGTGTGCATTCAATGCTACTGTAACTAAGACCATCCATCTTGCTGCTGGTCATCTTTTTCTTCTCTTTTCTTCCACCTTTGCAGCATTAAATCATTCTGCAGAGTACTAGGTCTTCACATTATGTATCTGAAGTAGGATAACTTGAGCCTGGTCATTTGTGCTTTGATTGAGAAGTTAGGGTGAATAGTTTGTTGAGCCATTTGTGTGTTTTCTTGACAGTCCATTGGATTCTCAGAAGTCTTCTTCAACAGATAGTTATAGATATTTTTTTAAATTAAGGTTACTTATTGCCTACAAGTAGCATGATCCTTCTCTTGAATATCTAGATGAGCTAGGTGACAGTATTTAATGACTTCTGTTTGTTGAAAATCATCAAAGAGTTCTTCTGGCATCATAAAAATTAAAAAATTTGGGAAAATTTATTTTTTAGGGATTAGATAGTACTGTATTTCATAAGATATAGGATTATTTGGCCTATGTATGTATTTATAACATGTTGATGAAAAATGATATGCAAATAAAAGACCAAAAGAAATGCAAAGGATAGCAGAATGATGACAAGAGCATAAGATTTCTCCACTTTTGAATTTTTTTTTCTTTGTAAAAGCAGGTATGATAGCCAAAATGATTCAAAATATCATTTTTATAAATCCCAATTAGCAAACAATTGTACAATATACATTTTTCTATTTGGAGGATTAATTACAATTGTGTTATTTTCTGAAATATGTCTTTAATATCCTTTAACACATAACATTTATTTTCTGCCAAGTATGTATGCATATAGAAGAAAATTGCTACTGTTAACCACATTACAGTGAAAATAAATGCAGTATTCTGCTTTCTTATTTTTATGGATTCTAAATTATATAACAAGGAAGAACATTGGCTTTTATTGTTTACAAATATAATAGCATATTAAAAGTTTTTAAAATTATTATTTATAGGAACCTGCCTCATCAGACTCAGATTCCTCAGCAGCAAACAGAAGGTGATTTTTACTTTTTTAAAATAAAAATAAATGAGTCAGGTTATAAAGGAATGAAATTTACACAAAATGGAAATTGTAGAGTCACACAAAATACTGTGTTCCAGACGTTCTGTCAACACCATTTCAGAGTAACTGTAGTTCGGATTAAACAAAATTTGGAGAGTTGTTTTTTCCTAGTTTGGTGAAACAAAACACAGAATAGTTTTGGATTTTCTGTTTCTAGAAAACTGTGTGATTCAGAATAAGTCTCTTGTTCTCTACTGATCTCTAGAATACCCAGCTCTAGGACCCACCTAGGTTACTGTAGTTCACAGCAGCAATAAAACAGTAATAGCAAAAACTCAGTACATTGATGATGGATTTTTGAGTTTAGCTGTGAATATCATTTTGTTGATTGTGGAGCTTCCAAAATATCTTTGAAGGTGAAAGCACTTACATATACAAAAACTCTAGAATCTCAGTACCAAGAGGAACTAAGAATGCATATACATTGAATCAGCTAAGTAGCAGGTTAACCAAAGCAATCAGTACTGGTACTTTTTGTATTTTTTGGTCTTGTCTGTGAACAGTAGTACGTAACACATGAACACACACCTTTAATATAATTTCAACATTACATCAGCTTCTCATTTGAAAACCACAGAACATTAATTCACCAACTTGAAGTCCAATTTTCATGCAAGAATCTTTACAAGAAACAGCAGTAACATATATTCTGGAGAGCCAAGGCAAAATATGATAGGAAAAACAGTCCACTTTTTCTTCAGCCTGGGCTGTTTGGTCTGCTGCTGGCCAGAGCATCACCCCTTTGAAGAAAACCCCCAGTCTAGTTTAGTCAAGATCCCTTGTAAGCAATTTCTTCTGTAGATCACTCTTTAGTCATCAACTATTTAAGGATGGTTAAATCCAGAATGACCCCCTTGCAGTGCCATGCACTCTGTAATGCCTACTTTTTTTCTCCAAAGCTCCAGCCAGATCATCCGAGCATCCAACTTAAAACAGGATAGAGACAAAACTATTTCCTCCTGCCTGTTGGTCCAAACTGAAGCATTCAAAATATAATACCCAAGTGCAAAAGATAGCACTACATCTAACTATACAGCTAGAACAGAAGAAAACATTGTAGACTATAACATTTTGGACTGTATTCAAATTCAACCAGTCCTGCTCTGGATTCTGTCTGCAAAAAAACATCTGAAGTAAATGTTTCAGTTCACCAACAGAGAATCTAAAATGGACTATTCATTGCATGAATACATTATGCAGGAGATTTTGCAGATCCCTATTACTGTACAGACTTATTGCAATCTTTTTTTTCTTTAATCCAGTATTGCATAGTTTTTGGACCATCATTCACAAAGCAGAGTAAGAAGAGATGGGGAGATTTGCATTACTGTTAATTATCAAAATGCATTTAAATGCAGTTATTTTGACATAGAATTGTTGGTTGTTTCTAATTTCTGTCTAAAAATTGCAAGCAAGCAAACAGACAATAAATTAAGCTTTGGGCTATGCAGACCACAAGGAAAATGTTTTATTTTGAACCTGGAGGTTCATCTGAATAATTTCAGATCAGATATGACTTGGCAAAGCCAAAACCTGGAACACTTGATTATTCAAGGCTTTGGACAAAACAAAATCCAGATGGGTCTAATATTTGTGCAAATCACCTCCTTTCATCTCTGCATGTCCCAGTTATCATATACCTCTCACCAACTCCTGTCCTTTTTTGCCTGAGCTGCTGCCAATATCTTTCCATCCCCCATCCCACTGGCACCCTCCCTCCTTTCTTTCCATTGCACTGAGTGTCCCAATATGGCATATTGCACCAGCTTGCTTGTTTTTTTGATCTTCTTTTTTTAATTAATTTTTTACAATAACCTTTTACAATAACCTTTTTTTAATTAATTTTTTACAATAACCTTTTTACAATAACCTTTAGTGCTCAGTAAATAGCATGTTGTCTGGATTCATATGTTTAAAAAACAATAAAAATTAATTTCTGTAATTCCATAATCAATATATTAATCAATGATATATTTATTTGATCTTCTCTTCATCCAATAGTATTCTCCTTTTGTCAAGATTAAGCAAATATTATTCTTAAAATTCAGTACATATAAAGTTAAATATAAATCTTTTTCTTTATAAATCTTTTTTTTATACAAATAACAGTAACAGCATATAGCATTTTTTCTTATCAGTTTATATTTCAATTATGTTTATAAAAGTCATCTTGTTAGGTCTCTATATGTCCTGTTTTCAAGATTTTATTTAAGCTTAATTTCCCCTCTGTATTCAAACCATTCTTTTCAGTCATAATTTTCTCAAAGTTAATAACCTTTAAATATCCAAACTTTTCGTTCATGTGCACCAGCCCAATATTTTTACATTTCATATATTATAGAAATTGCTGTACTACTTATACTATATATCTTATCTTACTGTGAGGCCTCTTTATATTCATAATTTATCTATTCTTTTAACTGTATTTAAACAGAAGTTTCATCATATAGTACTCCATCTGGTAAGTCGCATCAAATCTCTCAGATCTGATTCTAGCCTTCTTTGCAGGTAGCTTTCCAAGTTAATGTGTTGGATTTTCCCAGGTGTTTTTTCCTGTATTTTTGTAAATTTTGTTGGGAATAGAAAAAAAAAGTTAAGACATGTATTTTTTTGTCTCCCAAACTTTAATGATTGTCCTGGTTGCTCTGAAGTCCATTTTATTAGATCTTCTTTCCAATCTTCTAGTTGATTTGAGATCCTGAAAAATAGAATATATGTTCCGTTTCCATTGTTGTGGCAAAAGCTTGCAAGTTTTCTTTTGTTTGTATTAATTTGTAGTTCTCTTCCTCTTTGGGTCATTGTCCTCTAATTTGTATTCTATTATCTGGTTTGTTAGTTCATTCTTTATCATAATTTTCTGAGAATTTTTTATTTGTAGGTTTAAATTGGAAATGTGCTTATTTATGCCATCAAAGTTATTTTTAATCTCATGATTTGAAATTATTGTCAATTGAATCTGTTGCAGCATTGCATACATTTCCTCCTGGAAAGTATTTGCCTTGTCTTGAAGTATTGCTCCTACAGATCTCTGATGTTCTCGGCTGGGGCCTTCAGAAGGAGATATTAGATGTAGTTTCCTGCCATTTTTAGATATGTATGCACTATCCATTTTATCTCCCCCTTCCAGATGTTTTTTCACCGGTACCATAGTCTTAAAGTCCAAACAACAAAATCTTATATAGTTATCTTTATATAGTTTTTTTATAATCAAATGTGTTTCCAATTATCAAATAACCACTGAAAGCAGTATTTTATAATAGTTCTTCTGTTCAGGTGTCTTACAATTAATTTACCAGCCAAAATTGCAGTCCAGAATGTTTGACTATCCAGTAAAATTTCCCCCTAGAAGATTAGCCAATAGTCAAAGTTTTTCTTTTTCTGCAGACAATTCTTGAGCTTAAAGATCACAGCTCACTAAATATTTATAATCCCAGAAGGTCAGCAGTTTTTAAAACAAATATAGTTCTCTGTCTGTATTAATGGCCCTGATGATCAGGACTTAGGGGACAGTATCAGTTGTGAATATGTGCAGATGGCCCTGCACTCTCTGGCCACTTGCAGGCCCATGAAAGCACCCAATATTCTAACCCACCCGAGGACAGCTGGTATGTCTTGGGGGAAACACCCAAAAGGGAACATACTAGCTATTTCTGCTTTCTTCCTTCTTATCTATAGTGTGCCAGCCTTAAAGGGCGAAGTCTTTATCTTGTGTGTGTCAGCTTTGCTGGGTGAATTGCTTATGTAATCAAAGTAGATATAAAAATAAGGTTTTTCTGCTATTTGGGGCTTTTTGCCTCTTTGTAGAGAAGCCCATTCTTTGTTCAGCTGAATAAAAAACGTAAAGCTTGAAGGCAAGCTGGTTTCCTGTATTTTTTTAAGCAAAACCTCAGAACATGCATATCAGCCCAATATGTTTTCTTTCCTTGTTCCCAACTGTTTTATATTTGGCTGAAGGTCACTAAGGTTCAAGATTCAGATTATTCTTTGTTTCTGGGTGTCTTGCCAATTTCTGAGTCAGTGTTGCTGTTGTTCTATACTTTAATCCTCCATTAGATGTCAGTAGTTATTCATTTTCCAACTTTTCAAACAAAGAATTATTTTTTTATAATTTCACCAAAACTCTTTAAGATGTAAAATCTTAATGGTTTTCTTAATTTTCAGATTTATCCAGACTGTAATATTGTTAATTTCATTTCAGTATATTTCTTTCCCCCATAAAAATTAAATCGCTGTTTACATCTATGGAAGAGTGGGGGTATAGTCCCTTCCCTTCTCAGTTTCGGAGGATTTCTTGCTTCGGGGAATCTTTTCCAGGGAATCAATTGCAAAATAGAAGAGAGAAGATTGATATTCTCACCCTGTTCCACGCCTGCTGTTCACTGTTGTTCTGGTTCATGCTTTTGGACTTTGGCTGCTGGCATCTTGGGCTAGACACTGGTGTGCAACTAGCCTTTCTCCTATTGGGTTGGAGGGTTTCTCCTCGATCAAATGGATCGACCGCTGTCATTCCGTGATCATTGGGGTGCCCATCCTTCATTGCCTCTCTGGGGCGACTTTTGACCCATTTAGAGTCCCCTGGCAGGGCGAAATCAGTCGTGGGGTGCAGAGTTCCGCAATCCCTCATCCCTCTTCTTAATGCCTTCCCTTTTCTCCCTCCCCATATAATGTGAACTACTGTTTTGGGATTTCTGTTGGCTCTTCCCCTGGAACAAAACAGCTTCATTTCATCCTATGCATGAATGAAAACACTCCAATTTCAGTATGGGAAAGCTACCTGAATCCAGCTGTGCTTCACAAGTAAAGGTTTATGTGAAACATTTTGACATGCTTCATAAATGGCAAAAACTAGATAGAAGATTCACTTAGATCAAAAAGTAATGTATGCTAAGCTTTTATGCAGTATAGTCCATTCCATGCAGCTGATGTGCTTAGTAACCGTCAGTGTTGGATACTTCATATAGCTGATACATCAGTGATAAGCTCAAAAATATTATGCTACTGTAAAGTGTTCATCAGTCTTCAAGGTGCCACAACACTCTAGTTTTTGCTGCAACAAACTTTCAAGGCCATCTCTTTGGAAAATTATGACAGGAATTTAATTAAGTGGGAGATCTGTATTCAATTTATTTGTTATTTTTATTAATGCTTTCGGGGACTAAAGGAGAATTTCGCATGACAACATTTCAAAGATTGGAGGCAAGTATTACATTAGTATTGCCATGTTTTCTACCTGGTGAAAAACAGTGATAAAAGAAGAATCTGTGTTGCTAATCTAGTTTCCAGCAATTGCAGGTAGCATGACCAGTAATAAAAGGTGCTGGGAATCATAGTTTAGGAACACCTGAGGAATTACAAATTCCTTCCTCCAGTTTATTTTGTCCTTATCTTGTCTTTATTTGTATGCATTCCAAATATTCCGTATTTTAACCTTATGTAGAACATGTTCAGTATATAGGTTTCTTATTTAAATCTGGTCCAGATTCATCATGGATTATCCTATAATTTAAAACTATATTAACTTCTGAAATCTAATACACTTATGAATTGTCATTTCCAGGTAAATGGTATCCCTGAGGAAAGAAAATTTACAGAAGCAATTAATTTGTAATTAAATCAACCAATTCAAGATTTCATTTCCTTATTTGGTCCATTGACACATGAATGTTTCTAATGCATGCCTACAGAATATTATGACTTCAAATAGTATCATTTCCGTATTGTTACATGTACTGTATCTTTTTATACTTAAAATATTTTCAACAAATTTGTAAAATACTAATTTTTATATTAATTAAAACATTTATAAGGCACTCAGCTATTCATTATTCCAACTAGATATTGTTAAAGTATTCTTCTTTTGTACTATGTAACAATGTCCAGTATTCATGTTAAGGTTTTGTTACTGTTATCAAGAAAACTAAAAAGTGAAGTTAAAGCATGTGGCATTTTAATTTCATTTTGCAGTATAATTTTTTTCTGTCATGCTTTGTATATGGAAATTGTTAAATCAGAAAGCTACCAATACTAGATGTTGTTAATTAAGAATATATTCTATTCTTAGCACTGATCTTGATTTCCTCTGTGCTATTATTCCATACTGTATTTTCAGAATGAAAATGAATTTAAGCATTATTTTCATTATTCCAGGTACATCTAGTTTAATGAAGTTATTTTTAATTGCAATTTGTTAAATATTTCTAATTCCTAATGACCTCTCCCCAAATTCAAATATATTACATATTCTTCTGTTGCAGATTCTAAATAAATTGGAGATTCTAAATATTGAATGGGTTGATACTGATGTTGCTGCCTGAGCACCTACTCACCCATCCACATAAAACAATGAGATCCCACCTTTAAGCCTCATAACATCTTAGGAAGAAATCTTTTTGCATTCTTACAAATTGCCATACTCTCATGTAGTTTCTTCATCAATTTTTATAGATATCCTTTCATATTCATTTGTTACCTTTTTCAAATAGTAACTGAAGTAAGACATCCAAATGCTAACCAAATTTGTTCTGCTGAGTAAAGGATTCTGGAAGAGATGAATTATTATTCCAAAAATTATAGGTGAATGGTGAGGGAGAACTCTCTTGCATCCTTTCAAATTGCAGTGATTAAAAAAAAGTGTTGAAAATTCGCAAATAAAAGGGAGATGCAAATAATAAAAGGAAGGAAAATATATTACCGCTGATTTAAGAAAGATGGATCAAGAAATGAAAATCCACAACTAAGAGAATTTCTATCTATTTGTTCGGCATCCATCTCACCATGACTCTGGGCAACTTACAATGTTAAAAAAAATGAAGCAATACAAGAAACATGAATATAATAAAAATAAAGCACTATAAAATATAAATTATCAACTGCAACTAAAAGATGGGAGGAGGGAGGGAATAGGATGAGCAAAGGGGAAATAGGATATGCTGTTAATCTGTCAATCACCTCCAGTGTGACACTTCCCCTTTGGAATCTCCCAGCAAACTGGCAGAACTAGGTCTTCAAGTTCTTGATATCCCAGAAAGTCTGAAGATTCCTGTTTCTTTAAGCAGGCAATTGACCTGAAGATAGTGACTAGGTCAGTGATGGTGAACCTTTTAGAGACCAAGTGCCCAAAAACTGGCCCTGCCCCCGTTCCACCCCCTGCCTCGCCTGCCCGCCCAGGCAGCCCAGCAGTGACATGGTGGCCATGCCTTCTGCCCGCGCCTCACAACATCAACTGTGTGCGATGGGGCATGAGGGCAGAGTCTTGTCTACACTGGCTGCCATGTCGTTGGCTGCGCTGCTCCGCGTGGGCCACGCTCGGGGGCGACTCTCCTCCAGGGGGGCTGCTGAGAAGGGAGTCACGGGGGAGACAAGGCTGGGGCAACGGCACGTGTGCCCACAGAGAGGGCTCCGAGTGCCACCTCTGGCTCCCGTGCCATAGGTTCACCACCACTGGACTAGGTAGTCATTTTAGTCATCCTGTGACGAATTTCACTATGGATTATTTTGTTAACCACACAAAACTGACCAATTAAGACATAAAATTTGTGATGATAAAAAAAACACACAACTATTCAATCTATCCTATGATCTAGGCAAGTTACCTGAGGATTTATCGAAGAATGTGAAAAGATTATTTATTCTTTGTTAAAGGGTTTACATTCTAAAACAGTTCTTAGTGGGTGAAAACAGCTATTTTTCCAGGTTGCTATAAGAATGCAGCTTAATATTTACATAAAACGTTTTAAGAGCCATTTAATTTTTCAACTAAATTGAAGCAATAAAATTTTTAGGAATTTGGGTTTGGATAACACTTTCCACACCATTCTTACCCCTATAGCTATGAGGAGAAAACAAGGGAGTTGCTGTTTTCTAGAGATGAAACCAGTGGTGGGATTCAAATACCTGAACAACCAGTTCTCTGTGTAGATGCAGGCCTGGGCCTCTGAGAACTTCTGGAAGTAGCATCCTTGCACTTCCGGTGGGCTGTTCTAGGTCTGGGAGGCCTCCTCCAGGCCTCTGAAGCCTAGAATGGACTTCCGGAAGCAGTGTGCATTCAGCCGGTTCTCCGAACTCAATAAAATTTAGCTACCCGTTCTGCCAAACCGGTGCAAACCGGCTGAATCCCACCACTGGATGAAACATTCAAGATATTTCAAGCTTTGTTCCAATATAATATTCAAACCCATTTCAGGTTTTCTCTGGAGCATAACTAAATTAAAACATTTTATCAAAATGCAGCTCCTTGTGGTTTTTCTTCTCTTAGTTTTTCTATGAAGAGATTGTAATTCAAGGTGATTTTCCTTTTATGCAAATCTGATACACTGCAATTTTAAATAATACACAGCAAAACAACTATTAGGTCTTATTTTTTCTACTGTAGCCTTTTATGAAAGGATCTATTTTTAACAATATATTTGCAATATTTTATATAAGAATTGTACAAGTAATGTAGTATTTTCATGTATTTTATGTGACAGGATAAACCAGGGATTTTTAAGACTTCAGAAAGCTTTTTTTAAAGACACACATACACATAACACTCCTTTACTTAACTGATGCTCCTTTAGTACAAAAATAAGCACTTACACCACATTTATTTAAACTTTAAATTACTTCAGATTTTTCACATAACTTTGAAATATATTCTTTAAAAAATATATAGCAAACAAGTGCAATATTTCAAACTTAAAAAATAATCTTTAACCAAATCTGTACAACAGATAAATAAAATATCTATAGTACTCAGATTATAACATAACAAAACACTCTATCCTAACAAAAATTCTCACTGGATCTCATTTGTACATTCAACTCCTGACTTTCCAGCCATTACACCAATGATAAACAAGACTGAAGGAAAAAAAATGCAAATCATTAATGATAAAACAGAACTTTTCACACCTTTTGAAATAAGTGATCAGCTAAACACAGGACTTACACAAGAAGCTAATACAACATAAACATTTAACAGTTTAAAACCTATTATTATTTAGTGGGATTTCCTCTTCTCCTTTCCCATTGTTTAGTAAAATCTATTACAATGGGAATTATGAGTTCCTTATTCCATACATCAAAGCACACTAATAAATAAAAAGCCCTATAATTGCACATATGCATAGAATTAATACTGTCTATTCATTCTTCAAGTGCTAAAACTGGATGCAACATGCAGACATATTAGGGACATGTTGCAACTGGTATGAAAGCTAAGTCCCCAATGAACATACCATAAATATACCTCCCAAGGTATCCCTTTTTTTAAAAGGCAGACATTTCTTTGCCAAACAACTTTCCCCAAAGCACCTCAAAATGCAAAAAAATTAAGTTATGTAGACTACACACCCCATTTCACCACAAGCCTTCAGTTTCCAAACTTAGTGCTGAAGCTGATACTAATAGAAAGCAAAGGAGAGATTTTTAATGTGAATATGTATTTAGAATCAAGAACTACATATTCCACACAAACGTTAGTATATTGGATAGCGCTTATCTTATTCTAACTATAAATTGCCCAGTACTATACTTCAAATTGCTAGAATTAAAGTGTCAGTATTGGCATATTCCACTTAAATTTTTCAGATTAAGTGACATTATTTCCTTCAAATTCAATTACTATATATTTCACATCTGCACAGCATGCTTAAGAACAGAAATACTACTATGAGAATATAACTAAACAGTAATGGAACTTGAAGGTATATGCAAAACATAATGAAGCATTTTATATTTTAAAGCCTTGTAATACTATTCCTGAACTAACTATTTTGCATGGGCTTCTGCATGTTTAATTTTCAAAAAGAAACTGCAACAGTTTCATAGCCCTTTTAAAACAGTGATTGGTAAAATAGCTTTGAAATTCCTATATTTGAGGAGGTAATTTTTTTTGTCCTTATTTCTCATGCAGTCCATGCCAATTTTGAATAAAAAAACTTTCTCCCAAAGCAAAATGTAATTCTTACAGAAATCACAGAGCAATCACAGCTAAATGCCCAACTTCTTTGAAGTGTATCAGATAAAAGTTTTCTGGTTGAAATTATTTTCATAAAAAAAAGAAAAAATAAAATAAAATGTAGCTACAGCAGTAAACCAGAAAGGAGAATTTAGAGAAAAATCACATGAAATATTAAATTTCCAATGAACATTTGAAACTAAGAGACTTGAAAATACTGATTAAAAATAAATAGTGGAAGAAAAATAAGACTGCTCAAAATATTCAAAGTGAATGTCATTCATTAAATGTAGAGAAATTGCTGAAGATCTACTGTACTGAAATGTGAAGCAATGCAGTTTGTAAACATTAAGATTATATTTCAGTGTCTTTTTATCCCTCAGTTCTTAAGAAGTTCCCCAGAAATAATACGTGTACCAAGAAATTTAAAATAAATCACTACAGACATTTTGTTCACAGATTCTATGCAGGACTCTGTTGAAGCCTTATGCTCTTCAATGATTTCTCTATGTGATTCCAGGAATTCAAATGCCATCAAGAGATGGGTTATGTAATTTGTTGCAGCATAAGCAGTTTTGTTTTTTTCCATACACTGGATGTAAATAATTATTAATTGTTTTAAGAAATGCTTCCAGAAAAAGTCTTAAATGCCCCTAGCTGAGCTCATTTTGCTTGATTGTTACATTAATTTTAGAAAAGTTTGTAAACAGAATAATCCTTCAGTAGAAAAATCAATTTTTCTTCCCATACAGTTGTATATAATGCATTCCTATTTTCCTGAAAGGATGTTATCCTTAGGCAACATATACATGTTTAGTGTAGTTCCTATGTTTCTCTTTCTTGTGCTCCCCAGGAACAGAAACAAAGTTGAGGGAGAATGTAATTCCAGCTGATTTTCATTTGATTCAGGAGGTATAAAATGAAGCTGAAGCAATGTCTGAAGGATTTAGTGGAAGTTAATATCTTCACTATTTTTGAAAAGATGATAAAAAGAGAAATCCAGAGAGAAACACAGATGCCCATATTAACCTTTTCAGCAGCATTACATTATCTTTTGGAACAACAATCTGGGCAAGATCGTTTGTGATCTGGGAAATTTCATGAGCCACACACACAAATATAAAAGTGCTGACAATAATATTGAGCATCGGGGTTCCTGGAATAAGAACCAAGATTCCCTTTGTATCTGCTGCCAGCCAGATGTGATACTGACAGATGAAGAGCTGGAAAGAAAATATAACAAGAATTAGAACTATGTGATTTGAAAGACATTTGAACACATGGACTGTTACTACATTCTGTAAGCTTAGTAAAACAGATTAAGTCTACAGCAAAGTATCATCTCTATACCACCAACTGATGAAAAAGCAAATTCCCTCTAGTAAGGGCCGGTGACTTATTCAAGCTGGAATACAAGTTGCTTTCTTTATCCACATGGAATATCAAATCTAAATTCTTTTGTACAAATGGGGAAAAAAATCATAATTATTTTAATCACTGAGTGGTGGCGCAGTAGTTAAGAGGCTAACTCTGCTGATTGCCAGCAGTTCGATCCTGACTGGCTCAAGGTTGACTCAGCCTTCCATCCTTCCGAGCTCGGTAAAATGACCCAGATTGTTGGAGGCAATAGGCTGACTCTGTATACCACTTAGAGAGGGCTATAAAGCATTGTGAAGTGGTATATTAGTCTAAGTGCTATTGCTTTTGCTAAGTATTAGTTGTGCCAAGGAAACGCAATAATGTTCTCTTCTGCGATTTTCCCCACATAAAAACCATATGGTGACGTTGGTTGAAATGATAGAATGAAACATCAGCCGAGTCATTTGGGAGGCTTCCATGCCTGAGGGTAGATTTTAACGTAAGTATCCTAGTGATACTCATGTTAAACTGCTACATGACACTGCCTCTCAAAACTGTCCAAAACTATCCATGTGGGTTTCAAGGCCTGATGGTTATATGTCATCTTTGGAAAAATATCAGGTGTTAAAGCAATGGGATGAGATGGCAGGTAAAGATATGGTCATAGCCAAGTATTTCTATTACTATTATTTTATTTAACTTTACTTCATTTTGCATCATATTAAAACTTACAATCCAGGAGGAGTATAGAATACAATTCAGATTTTGGGGGTCTCATAAGCGTGCTATGTGATGCTTTACTAATGAATTCTTATTAAACCCAATTTATTAAACCCTTATTAAACCCTAATGAATCCTTATTAAACCCAATTTAGATGTTTCAGCTTTAAAACTAGAACTATGTGATGCTACTTGCCTCAAGAGAAATTCTGCCAAACCATGCAAAAAATGAACTGTACACTGAACGAGCATAGCCAGGTATATTCCTAATTAGAATGAAAGCTAAAATCTGAAAGACAAAAACAAAGTAGCATGTAAAAAAATATAGCTTGTTTATGCTATGCATTTAGGCTACACAACCAATTGATCGTATAACAAATTCAAATTCTGTTAACATTAAAATTATCAAGGAATAGGCAAACTGCTAAATTTTATCATATACAGTACCTGAGTATCTTTACAAATACTTTCTTCAAAAATGATGTATTAGTCATAAATTATGTCCAACAAAATGCTAAGTTCAGGCCATGGTGAGTTCAGCACACAGTGAACAATTTCTGCTCCAAGGGTTGCATATATTGCTAAAGGACTGCATGATTATCATGCTAGGGTAGAGTGCATACAGTAGCTTCTTGAGGCTTTCATATGATACAAAAAATAAATTTGTAACAAAGAAGAAATTTGGAGAAAAGATTCACTAGAGACCCCGAAGAATCCTATTTCAATGTTTACCAGGCTTAATTCGAAAGAAAAGAAAAAAGTCTTAAATCCAAAATGTCTTTCTGTTTAGTTGTGAGGAGTCTGAAAGCAGGGATATGCACTTTTTCATTTTACTCCCAAAATATTTCATTTAGTCCATGAAATACACCAATACGGGCATCATGGATGTGATTTGTTTTTCCAGAAGTACACTCATCACAGATGGTATTCCAGATGATTATTTTACATGAAAAATGCCCATACTGATATACTCTGGGGAATAAATATAACATTTCAAGAAAAAAAACCTAAATATTCCACTGCTAAAGTGCTCCATTTTGCACATCTCTGATTAGAAATATTTAAGTGATAGAATCCATAATTTATGCCAGATGACAGTAAAATTAAACCAGGAAGTGTCTGTTATAAACATGTACAACAGTTAAACACTCTACTGCAGTGGTCCCTAACCTTTCCAGCTCCACAGGAGTGGCAGTGGGGGAGGGGCGAGTTTCAAACACACAACCTAACTCCCATGCACACGCAAATAAAGTTTGTGTGCTCGCCTGCCACTTGCGCGGCCTGGTTCCTAATGTACTGCAGACCAGTCCAATCCACAACATGAGGGTTAGGGATCCCTGCTCCATAGATCAGCAAAATGCTTAGTTCCTGCGGTAATTAATTTGGTTCTGCTCTCTTATTTGTGTATGCCAGTTCAAATAACTGCTAATACTTTATGCTTCATTAGCTATGCATGTCAATTTAATCATACACACACACACACACACACACACACACACAGATAGATAGATAGAAGAGAATATAATTACCTGCATAACTGAAACAGAAGGATGCATTTCATTGCATTCAGTTTTATTATTACAGCTACTTGCCCAGATGGAATATGTCTACAAATATAAAACAAAGTTATGAGCCAAATAAAGCAACTATTTTTTCAACTATTTATGAAAAGAGATATTGCATCCACCCATAAGAGAAATATCCATGCAATCATTCAGACTTAAAACACTCATCATCCCTTTTCAGGAAATGGCAAGTCTATGTAAGTGTCTATTAGCAGACATTCTAGATCAAATAAGTCTCCAATTTAATAAAAATAGTATTATTTTTATAAAAAAAGCCATTGCAGTTTAGAAACTTACCAGAAAAAACACTACTGAAATAAATAAGAAAATATTTGAAACTTTGGTAGGAAAGAGTGGTTCTCCCTTTCCTTCTGAGAGGACCTGTCGTTTTTGAAATGTTAGATAAATGAAAGCAAACAACATTCCATGGAAAACAACCTGTAAGAGAAAAGAATATTGCTTTATCTCAATATTGCATTTAGCAAACATTAATTTAACATTACAGTTGGAACAACATTAAATGTTTGTTCCTTTTTTAAATTTTATTTTGCTTTGAAACTGAAATTATAATTCAAACATAATTTTCAGTAATAACAGCATAACTATGGTCAGATCACATAAAGGTATTTATGAAAAAAATTAAAAATACATACATATCGATCTAATTGCCATCTAAACCACCATTCATAGACGCTCCCATTTAGTTCAAAAAACATGGACAATGGCCATATAGAAAAAATCTTTTCAAATACATCCTGTAAGAAACAAACATATATTTACACAACACTTATATTACAGTACTAGGTTATCTAACATAAATACTCAATTTCTGCGAGTAGAAATATATTTAGATGAAAATACAAGATTCCATACTCTATCATGCAATTGATGTAAAAAGTCCACACACCCATTAAGACCAAGATAAATCACTTCCGATTTTCCCCCACCTTCAATATAATATATAAGCTGTACAATTCAATTAAAAATATTAGATTTAAGTCTTTTAGGGGGAAAACAACAATAAAAACATATAATAACCTGGTTGATAAGTGTGTACACTCTTACACTAATACTTTGTTAAAACACCTTTTGATTTTATAACAACATTCAGTCTTTTGAATTAGGAGCCTATCACTATGGCACATCTTGCCTTGGGAATCTTTGCCTACACTTCCTTGGGAAAGTGCTCCAAATCTATCAGACTGAGAGGGCATCTCTTGGGCACAGCCCTTTTCAGGCCACCCCACATATTTTCGATTGGATTTGGGTTCAGGCATCTTTGCAAAATGAAATAATTTCATATTTCAATATAATGGCCAAATATATTAACCCATTCAACTCAATATGATTACATAACTTAAACTACTATTACAATAATTGGTTCTCTGAAAAGGAAATAGTACTTTAAGATTAATCATACAGTATGCATATATATAAGGCTGAATTTCTCCAAGTCTTTATAGGCTCTAGACCTTTGCCTGCTCAAGAGCACATTTACTGTACTAAAATTTTTCACGATGATTAATTAAAAGGCTAATTATGAAATAGAATGATTAAAAAAATATGGAAACATAGTATACAGTCAGCAATATCTAAAAAACCATGTCATCAAAGGGATACACTTGCAGTGATGTCATCACACAAGTTTCATCATTTGTATCCTCTGCTCTCCATGGATATCCATGTATGGATACATATGATGTATGGATACATACGTACAGGTAGTCCTCAGCTTATGACATCAATTGAGCCCAAAATTTCAGTTGCTAAGTGAGATATTTGTTAAGTATTTTTTCCATTTTATGATCTTTCTTGCTGCAGTTGTTAAGTGAATCACTACAGTTGTTAAGTTAGTAACATGGTTGTTGAGTGAATTTGGCTACCCCATTGACTTTGCTTGTCAAGAGGTGGGTAAAGGTGATCACATGACCCTGGAACACTGCAACGATCATAAATATGAGTCAGTTTCCAGTATTTGAATTTTGAGCATGTGACCAAAGAGATATTATAACAGTCATGTGAAAAAAGGTAATAAGTCATTTTTTCGGTGGCGTTATAATTTTGAACGGTCACTAAACAAACTGTTGTTAAGAGGACTACTTGTAATATGATCCATGTCTCCATGGAAATCCATATATGTATCTGCAAATAGTGTAGCATTTGGTAAATAGCAATATCTGCATGCCTAAGTAAATTATTGCATTATGTAACAACACAAGCATATAAGCATGTATCTCAAACATGAAAAATATATAAAACTCATTTTTCAGCTGTGTTTCTATAAGTGTAAACTTTTATTACAAAAACAAAAAACCTTCTGATTTTGTTGGAATTAAGGTATATTATCTATACAATTATCTATATACAATTGTACTTAAACACTTGTGAACCTTTCTAAAAATATTTTTGCATAAATATGTTTTCCAGACAAATCCTAAAACTAGATAAAGAGAACCCAATTAAACAAATGAGTCAAAATTATACTTGTTTATTTAATATAAAGAATAGATCATTTTAGGTCGTATTTATCCAGAAATACTGAAAAATTCAGTATGGTTCATAAGCCTTTAAGCTCCACGATATGCTTTTGTCTGCGGTGGTTTGGCAATTCTTGTAATTGTTTCAGAATGTGCTTTGTTTTGTTTGTTTGCCTGTATGTATGCACACACACACACATATCCTTAATAAAACACTGAAATATTCTTTCCTTGACTTCTTTTTGGAACATTTTTTGTTCTAATATTCTACCACGTTTACTAATAGTAAATGCAGAAAAATAAAAAGCATAAAAGCTCTTAAAACTAAATATCTAACACACTCTCTCCATAATGAAAGAAGATAGACTAATGTTCACTATGAAAACAGATGCACCATCTTTGGACTGTCAGGAATTTCAACACCCAATTTGTTGGGAAATGGTTAATGCATTACCACAAAGCTTAGAGCTAGTTAACTGTTTTTGACAAAATACCATTTTTTCAGAAACACTAAATTGTTACCTTGCTGTTTCAACATTGTGAATGCTTTCTCTTAAGTGTTAATTCTAAGTTGAATTTGTATTCTACCACACTAAAGTACAGTACAAACCTCAGAGTATGCTAAAAAATAAATGCAGACAAACAGGAATCCTAATTTTAACAGCACGCCAGAATGCCAGAAGAAACTACCTGTGGAAAAACAAAAATGAAGAGAAATAATAATTTTTAGAGAAATATTTCGTATTATTTTAATACAGTAAACACTTCATGTTATATGCAACAATCCCGTAAATCCTGTGAGTAGGTCTGTACATTGAATAACACCTTCTTAGTAGGATTTGGACAATCATATATTGAGCTGCAAGGGTACTATGTTTATGCTGCAATGCATCATCTGTATGTTAGCCCTCCCCCCCTCCAATCTTCCCAGCACTTTTCCTCCAGACACTCCATTCAGAAATCATCACAACCATCAACAACACCTGATCATATTATCTCCCAGGAAACCTTTCTACCGCATTGAACTACTTCTTTCCATAGTAATCATATCTAAGGAAAGAAACTCATTTTACTCCATATACATACAAGGGCAATTCGGAAATAAACCTCCATTTGGTTATCAATGACAGATACTCGCAGATACAGAACTTTTATTATACACATTAAAAAACTACAATATTCCATTACTTTTTGACATAATCGCCATTCAAATTGAGGCACTTGTCATAACGTCTTACAAGGTTTGAAATACCTTAGTAGTAGTCGCTTGGTGCCAAATCTGGGCTATAGGGAGGTGATTAAAAACATCCCAACGGAACTGCTTCAAAAGTTCTTGGGAGCATCTAGCGGTGTGCGGGAGAACATTATCAGAAGTCAGCATGCCCCGATACTTGTTACAGATGGCTCCTCTGAGTTTTTGTAATGTTTCACAGTAGACTTCTGAATTGATGGTCAAAATATGCTCCATGAACTTCACTAGCAGTACTCCTTTGGCATCTTCACATTTTCTATGGCACCACTTCCGGTGTAGTATAGGTTCACGATAATGTTCATCCGCACACCGCTAGATGCACACAAGAAACTCTGAAGCAGTTCCGTTGGGATGTTTTTGATCACCTCCCTATAGCCCAGATTTGGCACCAAGCGACTACTACTAAGGAATTTCAAACCTTGTAAGACATTGTGACAAATGCTTCAATTTGAATGGCGATTATGTCAAAAAGTAATGGAATGTTGTAATTTTTTAATGTGTATAACAAAAGTTCTGTATCTGCAAGTGTCTGTCATTGATAACCAAATGGAAGTTTATTTCCAAATTACTCTCGTGGTTTGGTTTGGGCCAAAATCATCTGAAAACCATTGTTTACACAAAAAGAGTCACATATATAACTTCTAGTAAATTCCTATCTAGCAAAGGTGGGGAAATGAATAGAGAATTTTTAAGATATTCAAATGCTGGTAGAAAAATAAAGCGTATTAGGTGGTGATTGTTAGATATGTTAACAGTTCTTTTGGTGTAAAAATGAAATATTTACCATTGGCTTTCTTCAGGATAATTTGAGGCCACAGAGCTAATGTAATATATATGATTAAAAACCAGAAAGTGACTAGAGGAACGAAGTAATAGAATTGATAAGACCGATCCATTACAATACACAGTACCACAACCAGGAAGTTCAGTCGAAACAAAACCTGTTAATATTGAGAAAAATATTTAAGTATATGGCAATGAAATATTAAATAATTTTATTTGTACATTTTAATATAATTTTAATCTGTTTGTAATTTCATCAGAAGTGTCAGACTACTTTAAGCACATTTGCAGTTTAGATTACTTTTATTACAATTTAGAGGAGTAATAATTTTGTAATCCAGGCTCTAAAAAAGTTGAGTTAAACTTTGAAGTTTTAAAAAATCCTAAAACTTCTTGTTTTCTTGTTTAGCCAATAGGAGTATGTTTAGCCAACAGGAGTATGTATTCATTTTAGAATACATATTCAAAATATAGATTTTCAGATCTAGGCAAAATATCTCCCTTTTACTATGATAAAGCCAGTCAGATGGTTTAAAGCAGATTTGCAGAATTCCAGTTCAACACAGTAAATTAAGATTATTTATACTGCCAGTGCTGAAAGAATTCCCCACAATTCCTATTGCATGCAGGGACCTTAACATTAAAACTTACTAACTAATTGATAAAACTTGAACAATAAAATTAATGGAATGAGAATTAATATACCAGCTCACTTAATTTGGGGAAGGAAAGCAAAATAAGATAATTCACAGATAACAAGCTCTCTATGACACAAAAACAGTATATTCTACTTGAGAGGGGAACACATTACATTAATCGAGTCAGCTAATGATTAGAGATTTAGAAACATATTGATCATATCAGTTTTGTTGTCTACAATTACAGCACCTGATACATTGTAGATGGTTAAAAAAAACAGAAACAAGATCTTGCTATTAAAGGTGTATCATCTGAAAATTTTACTTTTATTTTAATACTCTTATGCCCACAGAGCAATTTCCAAGCTGTCCAACTTAATCATTTTGCAGTCAAGTACATATACATTGCATTGACAAGGAATTAGCAAGATAAAAAAAATCTCTGCCCAATGAATTTAGAGATAAACTGGATGATAAAATAAAGATCTTACTGTGAAATTTTCTATAACCTAATATAGTTTGCTTTTAAAGAAAAGTAGTTAAGACCTAAATTTTGATTGTAAACAGCTCTCAAAGGATTGAAAGTATGATGGGATATATTAGGCAAGCCATTACAAGATGAGTAACACTTTTGGTCCAATGACTTTTTCCTGTGGCCATGGATGTGGAAGGAGCTTCTCCATGACTATTCTTGTTGGGAGGGAGAGGCAATCACTATCATTGGTCTGCTTGGTTCTCAATCTTTATCCTCTCTATCACTATCTATCATTTAAGGCTGAAAAAAGCAGCTTGATGCAATCCACACATCACAATTGAAAACCCCACTTCTGGCACAAGTATTAATCTTAAACATGGCTCATGGTGCCCAGTAGTTTTGGACCCAGTTCCCAAATAATAAATAGCTCGAGGAACCCTTTGATATCAGTGTGTGGTTCTGACAATTTTGCCATCTTTTTGTTTCCAATAGCATCTTGGTAAGTCACAAGATCCACAATAATAAATCTTTTTTGATTTTTTTTCTTTTCCATCTTTTTTTTAATCCAGATACATATGTAGTGTTACTTCTGTTATTGTTTTTATTATTTACTGCCAGATAGCTTATAAATTTTTTTATTTGGTTGAAAATAATAATGATTCAAGAATTCTAGCAGGCAATTTAAAACTGGGAACCAAAGTTTATTTGAACTTTAGATTAAGAACTAGACTCTTTTTGTCTTTATAGTGCATGGGAAGGAGGAAGATCTCTTTCAGACAGTCTGCAGTTACCAGTTTTATAAAATAGTTGCTTATAATTTTAATTTTATTAGGCTGAGAACAAAGTTTTCCATTATTATAATTTCTCATCTCAATATTGAAATGAAGGAAAGCTCTTTTTTAAAAGGCACAGCTGTGTATGGGTTCTCTCCAATGGATACAAAAGTCTAGGCATTTTGAGATTGAGTAAACCTTTTCCTGTAAGCTTTAACTTTGATAACAATAGATTTACCATTCACACAAGCCAAGTTAGCACTAATGATGAATTTGAATCTACACCTTAACTTTGGTATAACAGAGGGACACCTGGTTCAAAGAAGAAAACATGATTCAATGGATGTTACAAGAAAGTACCAAACATTACCTAACAGTAATAGAAACTAATTGAATTTTGTAACTGTAGTCAATCATGATCATCATATATAAATTGCTTACCTGACACACTCTATAAATCCCAAAATCTCCTTTAATCCAAAAGTATGAGAAATGTCCATAGCCTGTTTGGAATAGATATGCAGCAACCAAAACACGGATGTGCATATATACTGGCAAGAACTATGAACAAAAACATAGGAGCATTAAAAAAAATCAAGTAATTCTCACTGATTAAATTCCAATTTAAAAATAATGATATGTGGAATGTGGTTATCTTTCCATTTGATTTTAGCTTTGGCTCAGTAAACTCAGTTCTGTAAACTCAGTAAACTTCTGTATTTCTAGATATTAAAGCTTCATTTCCAACATTTTGTCTTATAGGTCTTTTCAATACATCCCCAACCAACCATTCATTCATTGGTTTAATGATGAGAGAGACAGATATTTTTACATGTATGCATGTAGGACTTAGAGTCAGATAACTGAAGCAACATGAAAGCATTTGTAATAATTAAATAAAATGGTATAGATATGTAGACTGGGCATTGTTCCAACTACTGCATTATAAGAACAAAATAATGACTCTTCTTAAAACCATGCACAAAAACCCATAATTAAAACAGGTCTTCTAAAGAGCAGTCACACCAGTGATGGGGTATTACATTTCATTTGCATCAATTAGTATTGTTTGTTATTATTATTTTACGGAGAGATGGGGCGTTGTCTTACCTGAACGCCTTTTCTCAGCACGGAGATGGAGAATCCACCAATGGGTAGTAGACTGTATTCCTGCCCAATCAGATCAAGTCAGTCAAAGTTGCCACGCCCGTCCTGGGCCATAGATACCCAGTCTTTGACGCGAGCGTAGCCATTGACTGACAGCAAGATGTTGTGGCTCACCAAACTAACTGACCCTAGGCCTAATGACCTACAAGGGTGGGAAGTGGATTATCCATCTCCGTGCTGAGAAAAGGCGTTCAGGTAAGACAACGCCCCTTCTCCAGCACTTGGAGATGGAGAATCCACCAATGGGACATACCAAAGCCTACTGTCCCTGAGGGTGGGTAGTAGACTGGTCCAGAGTGGCACTTTGATGCAAAACCTGTTGGAGAACTCTCCTACCGAAAGAAGCCTCAGCCGAGGCAAACTTATCAATTTTATAGTGCCGAATGAAAGGAGAAGGTGAAGCCCATGTGGCTGCCCTGCAGACCTCCTCGATGGAAGCCTGAGTGGTCCATACCGCAGAAGTAGCCGCACTCCGTGTAGAGTGGGCCGTAACCCCTCGTGGAACCGGCAATGACTCAGCTTGGTACGCCCCGGCGATGCATGCCCGTATCCATCTGCCAACTGTGGAAGAGGAAACTTTCCGACCTTTGGTGGAGGAGTGGAAGGATACAAAGAGGGCTTCTGATTTGCGGAATTCAGCTGTCCGCAAAATATAGTACCTAAGGGCCCTCCGGACATCCAAACTATGCCATTGCTGTTCCAACGCATGCGACGGGTTGGGACAGAAGTCAGGCAGCACTACCTCCTGTGACCGATGGAATAGGGAATTGACTTTCAGGACGAAGGTAGCGTCGAGACGAAGAATCACCCGATCCTGTTGGAAAACACACAAGTCATCCCGGATTGAAAGTGCCGCCAATTCGGAGATGCGTCACGCAGACGTAATTGCCACCAGGAATGCCACCTTGTGGGACAGGTAGCGAATGTCACACGTCCTGAGGGGCTCAAAGGGCGATTTAGTGATGGCCCGGAGTACTCGTGGCAGTTCCCACGAAGGGTACCTGTGTACTGCAGGGGGTTTGTTGTTAGCGGCCCCCTTAAGGAATGACCGTATCAAGGGGTGATGACCCAGTGACTCCGCTGAATCGCAATTGAGGACCGTGGAAAAAGCGGCAACTTGTCTGCGCAATGTGTTAGGGGCTAAGCCCCTGTCCAGTCCATCTAACAAATAGTCCAAGATAATTGGAACAGTGAGTGCCGAGAGCGACAATTGTCGCCCGGAACACCATGATCGGAAATTTCTCCACGTGGCCTCGTAGATACGGTTCGTGGATGGACAGCGCGAGGCCTGAATAATTGTGATAACCCCGGCGAGCAAAGCTCCCTAGTTAGGATCGAGCGCTCAAGCGCCAGACGGCTAACTGGAGCCATTGGGGGTCCGGGATGTAGAATGGCCCCTTGGCTGAGAGAGATCTGTTCTGATGGAATCCGCCAAGGGTCCGCGAGGGAAAGGTTCATCAGATCGGCGAACCAAGGTCTCCTTAGCCAATAAGGGGCCACCAGGACGATCTCCGCTCGCTCCCGAAGAAGCTTGCGGATCACCGCCGGGAGAATGGGTAAAGGGGGAAAAGCGTAGAGCAGACCCTGTGGCCAAGGGCTCCGAAGAGCATCCGTCTGTTCCGCCCCTACCGCCGGAAACCGTGAGAAGAAGCGGTTTAGCTGGGCATTGGACGGGGACGCGAAAAGGTCTACAAGAGGGAGGCCGAAACAGTGACAAATCTCCCTGAAGACCCTCGGGTGGAGGTGCCACTCCGAGTGATATACCGTTGACCTGCTCAGAATGTCGGCCTGTGTGTTCGCAACCCCCAAAATATGATCAGCCTTGATGGAGGCCAGATTGTGTTCTGCCCAGAATCCCAGTAAGAGAGCCTCGGACAACAGGTTCCGAGATCGGGTACCCCCTTGGCGATTTACGTGGGCCTTGGCTGCCACATTGTCCGTGAGGACCAAAACGTGACGCCGTGCCACCAGATGGTGAAAGTGACGAAGAACTAGATGGATGGCCCTCAACTCTAGCCAATTTATGTTGTGCTGGAGGTCCGAGACGGACCAACGGCCCTGTGCCCAATACGACCGAAGGTGTGCCCCCCAGCCAAACAGGCTGGCGTCGGTCGTGAGTACAATTCTGTCCGGCTCCTTGAAACGTAACCCTCTGAGTATGGCTGGTGACAGCCACCACATGAGGGAGCGTAACACTCAATGAGGGAGAACTACCCTGTGTTGGGATGCACTGAGGTTCCGCCTCTGAAAGGGAAGCATGAACCATTGTAGTTCCCTGGAGTGGAGCCTGGACCATGGGACAATCGCTATGGCCGAGATCATCTTCCCTAACAACTGGGAGAGACTGACCAGTGTTACCGACCAACTCCTGCGAAGCTGAAGGATCGACTCCCTTATGCTGTCTCTGCGATCTTGAGACAGGTACACCCGGCACTCCATCGTGTCTATGATGGCCCCCAGGTGCAAGAGCCTCGTTGTAGGAATTAAGTGGCTCTTGGGAAAGTTTACCGAGAATCCGTGGTCCTGGAGCAGTTTTATCACCAGTTCGAGGTCCGCCATGGCTGACCGGGTGGATGAGGACTGAATCAATATGTCGTCCAGATAACATTGGACTCTGACTGGTATCAATCGTAAATGTGCTGCCAGGACCGCCAGAACCTTGGTGAACACTCTGGGGGCCGATGATAGGCCAAATGGGAGCGCCCTGTACTGGAAGTGACGCCCCTTGTATGCGAACCGTAGAAACCGTCGATGGGTCAGAGAGATAGGAATATGAAGGTACGCCTCCGTGAGGTCGATAGACGTCAGGAGGTCCCCTTTTCTGACACTTCCCAAGATGGAGCGGAGCGTTTGCATTTTGAATTTGTGGTATGCAATATGGAAATTCAAACTCTTGAGATCTAGAATAGCCCTCCATCCCCCTGATGCTTTTGGAACAACGAAGAGGATGGAGTAAAACCCTTGACCTCTCTGACCCAGTGGTACGGGTTCTATGGCTCGTATGCGCAACAAGTGTTGGACTGCTTCGTCCATCAACCTTTCCTTCGTACGATTTCGGGGGTACGGACAGGAAAGAAACCGATTCGGGGGGGTGGGAGACGAACTCCAGATAGAGACCGTGGCGAAGTGTTGAGCACCCACGCATCCGTGGTGGTAGCCTCCCATTGGTGGGCAAATAGAGAAAGTCTGCCCCCCTATGGTAGGTGCCGCCGATGAGTCACCTTGAGCGGCGAAAAGGCCTGTTGTTCCCTCGAAAGGGCCGTTTCCCCTGGGGTTGTTGTCTGGGACCGGGATTTTGCCTATCAGGTTGTCTATCCTGCCTGTCCTGTCTGGACGGGAAGGAGCGAAAAGGCTGGGGGTAATTGCATCTCGCCCTTCCACGAAAGGACTGTCTTCGTGGAAAGTAGCCAGACCTTTTGTTTGGTCTTTTGAGCAGGTGATTAAGGACCTGGCGTTTATCCTTGTTCTCAGTTAAGTAAGGAGTCAGAGAATCCCCAAATAACTTGGCACCCTGATAAGGAGCAGCTGACAATTTCCATTTGGACTTAGCATCAGCTTGCCAATGTTTCAACCAGAGCATACGACGCCCAGTTATGCTGGACGCCATAGCCCTGGAAGAAAACCTGGCGGCCTGTAGGGATGCGTCTGACGCATACTCAGTGGCCGCCACCATCTTACTGAGGTCCTGGTGCGTGTGGACACCCTCCACCGGAATCCGGGCTTGAAGTTGCCGGAGCCAGGTGAGGGCGGCCCTGCTGAAGGAGGCGGAGGTTGCGGTCCTGATCGCCCAGGCAGCCGCCTGGTTCCTCTTATAAGTGGACTCGCACTTGCGATCCTCGGCCTTAAGGGCCTCTGAAAAATCGCCGGAGATGGCGGTGGCCGATACTAGGGGCCTAATGGTTCGTCCACATCCGGAATCTCCAGAACCTCCTCCAGCTCCTTGGCAACATTATACAGCCTCTTATCAGTGGTACCTGGTAGGGGAAGAGAAGCCGGAGAGGACCACTGCTTCCTGATTGCATTCAGGAACAGGGAAGGACAGGGGATACGGTGTTGAGTCGGAACTGGTTCTACGAAGTTTGGGTCTGCCTCTGAATCGGGTGGAGCGGGAGTAACTGCTGATGAAGATCCCTGTCCCAGATGAGCCGTGGATGTGGCCTTACGCAGTAAGGTGATAAAGAAAGAAGGGTTAAATAGGCCAGTGAATGAGGGAGCTTCCGGAGGGACATCTTCCTCCTCTGACATCTGGACCTCCTGTCCTGACGCGGGTTGGTTGAGGTATGAATCCTCAGAAACAAAAGACCCAGATGGAGAAGATGGGTTATAATAAGCCTCAGCCTCCGGTTGGGAAATAGGAATGGACGTTACTGGTCTAGAGGCCTGAGACCTGGCGTCAAGAGTGCGGTCTACCACTTGTTCGATCAATAACGCCAGGCGGTCCTCTGCAGGGAGGAGGGCCAGCTCTGTAGGGCGGAGTCCTGCCGCAGTAGGGGTGAATGTGGCCTCAGGGGCCCCCTGAGCCGCCCTCGAAGTAGAGGGCTGGGGAGCTGAAGGGAATTCCTCTATTCTGCACTGCACCGGGGAATGGAAAGAGTCCCCCGCCGACCAGACTCCCCTAGGAGAGGTTGGCACCCCCAGGGGTAAGTCAAGGGCTAACCCCGCAGACTGAGGTGCCTCCAACCTGGCTCTCTTCTGTGCTTTGGAGAACTCTTTTGCCAAGGCTTGGTGTCTCCTGTTAGCCTGTTTATCAGTGCGTTTGGAAGATTTGGTGGTAGATCTGACCTTATGGGTCGTTTTATCATTGCCTTCCGGACCGAGTGGACCCGATGAGGATGGCAAGGCACTCATTGAGGAAAGAACAGATTCCTCCATTCTCCGATAGCACCGGAACACAATAGGGGGCTCCTGTTATCTGGAGAATGTCACACTCTGGGTAAGGACAGACGGACTACAGGGGACGCCTGGAACCCAGGTACAGTTCCCAGTTGGATAAGGACAGGTACACTATTGGGGCACCTGGAATTCAAGGGTTGATGTTATTGTACGAATAAGGACAGACACACTACAGGGGGCGCCTGGAATCCGTACTTAAATACTGAGGATGAGGACAGACACACTGTTGGGGGTGCCTGGAATCCCAGTATAGTGCCAATTTACAGAAAACCGAATTAAGGAGACACCAAATCTGAAAAAGGCTAACACCTAGAGGGGCCTGGATGTTAAGTTATCAATCCAAATCCGAAGGGGGGGACCCAAAGCCTCCCAGGAAATTTCTGGCCTTGAATCTGAGTGCAGAGTCAGCATACAAAATGGCGGCCACCCAGAAAATGGCGGCCTGTCCCTATGCTGTGAGTATGTTTGATGGTGTTTAACCTCCCCAGCGAGTACACCTCGGCAGCAGAAAAGGTTAACGTAGCCGCAAAAGGGAGTCCCAAATGGATTTACGGAAATCCAATTAACTAAATTACATTAATCTCAGGTCCTGCCGGATCGCGCAGTACCAAAATGGCGGTCGCGCATGAGGGCCAGCTCCGAGAAGAGAGGCCGTCCTGAGGAAAAACCTCAGCAGGAGAGAGTGTTGTGACACGCGGCTCAAAATGGCGGCCGCGTGACAAATCACCAACGGCCGCAGCTGGAGCTGAGAGGAAATCGGTGTGGTTCCCTCCCCCAACGGAGCCTCCGCACTGTTATCTGATCCCCCAATCGGCCCGGACAGCCGATCAGCGCTGGGACCTCATGCACGCGCACCTCCGGTTATCCCCATCCGAAGGGGAAGAAGGCAATTGAATAACTAGGTCACCGGAGCTGCAGGAAGCCTGTCAAGGTGAAAACCCTGGGAAGGCCCTTCCCCACACGAGCGATTAGCCTACGGAGCTGCAGCCGCAAGTTCCGTCAGGCCTGGGGGTATTTGGAGACCAACAGCCGTTGGCCTACTACCAGGAATTTTTAGAGCCCTTCTGTGTGGCTGCAGTAGCAAACCCCTTTGCGAAAGAGATCAATTGAAATGCAATTTGAGACAAACGGCCGTCAGAAATGCCTGATTAGGGAATTTTTGGAGGGAGTGAGGAAGGAAAGATAAGGAAGGAGCCCCTTCCTTGACATGAAAAAATCCCCAAATTAAACCCTCTTGATGAGAGAGAGGAGAGAAAGGAAAAATTTATGTAGGGAAGCCCAAATTGTGTGCTAAGCACTGGTCAGAGATTTTGGAAACTGGGAAAGGAAATGGAAAATCCACCAATGTCTAAGTATACCTGCCTAGAGCCAAACTTGCAACGTCTGTCCTGGGCAAGATCAAGTCAAAGACTGGGTATCTATGGCCCAGGACGGGCGTGGCAACTTTGATTGACTTGATCTGATTGGGCAGGAATACAGTCTACTACCCATTGGTGGATTTTCCATCTCCAAGTGCTAGAGAAAAACTTATCACCTATTTCAGGACTTTTTTCAAATCTCCCCAATAGAAAATCAAAGCCCTCTTTCACAAGTGGGTGTACTCCAGTTTGAGAACCATAAAGATAAGATAAAGAAAGCATAATAAAGATAACATTAAATGCACAAAATATATTTAATGTTACTTTTAAAATATACCGTCATTTTAAATAATTGATATTTTATTCACATTACATCACTTCATACAAGAAAATAAGAAAACTCGGAGAAAGATACATGTTTCAAAACAATTTGTAACCATCCCCATGAAACAAATGTTTTAAAAGATTATTTTAAATTTAATGTTGTAGTCTAAAAGTCTATTTTCCTGAAAAATAATTATATTTTTAAAAAACTACTTACTGTGCTTGCTCCAGAGATATGATAGATCAAAATGACAAGCTGCATCCATCCTTTCCATTCATCAGTCTGCTCCCTATTTAACACCTTAGTCTGTGCAAAATAAAGAAAAAAGTAGTTACTTTAAAGAACAATTATGTAAACCACAATACTACTATACAGTAAATACATCTGAAATTATCATGCTTTAATTACAACAGCAATTAACCATAAGTATGCATGCTGAAGTATTTGACAGGGACTGCAAGACAAAGGACTGCACAGGACACTATGAATAAGCTGCAAGACCATCAAACCTTTTTGATTTCAGCTAACAAACTTCATATATTTCTTGCCAGTTAGCTTTTTAAACACAGCAGAAAGTGATTTCTGATGCAATATTCTATGAAGAACTTTTAGGGGAAGAATGGCCACAGGCATTTTAGGTACCTCCTTGCTTAAGGTCACTGGCTGACTAAATGTTGTCCACTGAAATAACATTGTCAATAACTTTGGGTAAAAAGAATAAAAATAGGATTAAATAATAAACTATATTTATACAATTGTTCATAAAGTACAATTTTCTTTTTAGTGATTTTACAACATAATCTCTTTAGTTTATTATGCTGATTCAAGTCCCTGAATCCAATGAGACTGGCTTCCAAGAAAATGTATGGGACTAAATTCTCAATGTTTATTTCCCATTTTATTGAAGAGTTTAATATCTAAAAGCAGTGATAATGAAACAATACAAAGGCCACTACTCTTTGCAACTTGTTTGTTTTATTTAATCTAAGTTCTTAATTTAAGCACAAAAAAAAGATACCTCTTTAGTAGTCTCTGTGTAAAATACTCCTAACACCAAGATATAAATGATTGGTATAAAAAAAGATGAATGAGTATAAAACTTGTTCTCTTTCATAAATAGGTTTGCTCTATCACACAGGTAGAAATAGCCCATAATTAAGCCAAGTTTACACAAGGACTGGAAAATTGTCTCTAGAGTAGAAACTGTTGGAGAATTAGTGGCAGGTTTTTTCTCTTCTCCACTCTCCATATCAGTGCACAGCTTGTTCTTCTGGTTATTGTTACGACGAATGAGAACAAGAATCAAATATCCAATTACAGATGAAGCCAAAAAGCAAAAAGCCAGCTTTTGTATCAAAGTCACAGGAGGTTGAGGTTGGCAGCATGAGCCATCAATAGGTTTCACAATCTTGTTGCAGTGATTGTTCATTAGAATCATTGCACTCTATTGAAAAACAAAAATTGAAAACATAATTTTGTCGGTGGAATTTTGTTTATCTTTGTTAAATTTTAAAGTGCATTTTATAAACCAAATACAATATCTTTATTTGCATAAAATTAATTTTGAAAAAGTTAATTTTTAACAGCGAAAATAATAATACAATATGGTGTAAGAAAATACTTAATTCTGCATCTTATCATCTGATTGTATATTGGAAATCCATGATAAAATCTCTTTCATTACATTACATCATGGAACAGTTGGCATATCTCAGTGATTTTTAAAACTGAAATATAGGACTAACCAAGATAAAAGGCTGAGAATTCCAAGACAATATAGGAATTTTCTGGATTTTAACAATCCACATAATAACCATAAAATACGGAGTAATTTCTTTGTCATAAAGAAATTAACATAATGATGTTAAAACTGACACCCTGCAACTTTTATAGTGGTAATTAAATTAATTTAATGGCAAAACTGAATTTGAATTAGTTTTTTCAGGTCAGTTTAATTGTTGCATACTTGAGAGAATATAAGCATTCAATCAAATGATCTGAATTAACTGGAAATGATTTATGTAGGGAAAAAAATAATTAAATTAAGTATATTAAGGAATTTAATTCAAATTTCTATAATATATCTTATGAAATTTATAGGGTATTAAATGTTGCCTTTACAAAACATTTCCACTGTATATAATTGAAAGTGGTTTTGATAAAGTTTTTCAATACTTATTAAAACAGTAATAAAATTCATTCAATTAGTCATATTATTTTAAGATCTAGAGCTATTTTTTCTCATCAATTCTAATAGCTAGAGATTACTCACTGTTTCTCTGCTTGATTCAGGAAGATGTAAGCCGTCTGATGACTGAATTATAGTTTCTTCTGCTATTAGTCTAGATGCACTAAAAACTTTTACTTTAGCTTTTGAATTTTTTGAGCTGCTGTTCAGAATACTGACCGCTGCTTCATTGTAAGCATCTATTTTCTCATTAGTGATCATTTTCCTGCTTTCAGTCAACATATCTTCATAAACTGGATCTGAATTGATAAGTATATCTGAGTTACTACTTTATAAACCAAAGCAACAAATAAGTAAATATTCAATTCCAAGGCAGTAGAAAATCACTAGTCTATACCCTTTTAGCAACAATGGCATATTTGATTGTCACTAAATTTCAGTGAAACAAACTGCCATTTAATAACAGTTTGAATAAGTAGTGCCATGGTGGCGAACCTATGGCACGCATGCCACAGGTGGCACGCAGAGCCCTCTCTGTGGGCACACGAGCCATTGCCCCAGTCCTAGGTCTTCAGCTGGGTTTTATAAAACCTTTTCACTTTAGGCCTCCGCTGCCGTGTGCAAAAAAAAAAAAAAAAAGGTTCAATCAATTTCAACTTTTTGCGGGGAAAAAAAAGATCTCGCAAAGTTGGAATTGATTGATTGAATTTTTTAGTCCCACCCAGTCTGCTGTTACCACTGAAGCCATACCCACCCAATGGGCCACGCCCATCCGGCACTCAACGATACATAAGTGGATTTTGGGTTGCAATTTGGGCACCAGTCTCTAAAAGACATCACTGAACTAGTGTGTCTGGTGCCAAATGAAATAGTTGTGATAAATTAATGTTAAATATTTCTTCACACAAATAAGTAAAAAATGGACTGAGTTCTTACTGAATTCCATCCCTATAATTTTAATTAGAAAAGTGGCTGAAAAAAGACTATTATCCATGTTTCAAATTATCTTTGTTCCCAGTATATGGGAATAAATTTGAGAATGTCTTCCCCAATTAGGATACTATAATTCCACGAAGGATTTAAGTAATACATGAAGCTAGCTGCTTAATCCAGCTACCCAAAGCATATTTGAGAGGTGATTGTATATCCTCTGCCTGAATTTTTTCAATTAAATGGAGTCCCACTTCTATATACAATTTCTGCCATTGAACTGCCCACATTTAGGAATACTTTCTTAATTTTCTTTAACTGAAGACCATTACTCTGATAGTTATTCTGGAATTCTACATAGTGAAGAGGTCTAACAATAACCCCCATTTTTTAAGCTGACATTTAATTTTTTTTTCTCTTACGTGATCAGGAAAATTCTAGGCTATTATTTAAATATGTATTTTGTGAAATTTTCTAATCTCTAATGCAAATTAGAGCAAATCATCTGTTCCAAAAGAAGTTAATAATATTTTGTTCAATATTTGCTCAGATATTGTGTTAACAGTTACTTCCAGTAGAAAATGTGATTTCACAGAAATTTAATAATGGAGCAGTAATGATCCACAATACAGAGCAAACTTCAGTAGCTGATCTTAGAAAAAATCTGGCATTCCAATGCTAAACAAAAATTACAAGCATTTCAGATAACTTCACCTTCAAGTAATTATTTTAGCTTGTCCCAAGTCACAACAACAATACACCAATGTGCAATACAATATAAATTTTACCTTGTAAGATCCAATAGACATCACTACCCTTTGCCAGTTTTTCCAGAAGGGGTGCAATTGAAGTGATGTTGATCCTATATTGTGTGAGTGCTTCATTGCTGCCATTATGAATTTTCATAGACCACTGAAAAGGATATTAAAAGAAAATGAATTAAAACTGTTGCTATTTCAGAAATTTTATAAGCAAATTGATATATTTTGTAACAGCTTTGAGACATTTCTAAAAATAAGACGTGTGTGTTTGTGTGTGTGTATAAATATATAAAGGCATCCTTATTATAAGTTCTATTTTTGTATGCAGGTAATCTTCATTTAACGACCACTCATTTAGCAACTGTTCAAAGTTATTGAAGAAGGAGATTTATGATTGGTTTTTGAAGTTGTAGTCATTGCAGTGTCCCATCGTAATATGAACATCATTTGAGATCTTCACTGCTGGCTTTTGACCAGCAAATGGGAAAGATAGCAGGAAGTTGTAAATTGTGGTCACGTGACATTGCATTTAACAACTGTGTGATTTGCTTTATGACTGCAACCAGAACTTTCATCATTAGTCAGTGCAGTCACATGATTTTTCACTATGACTGCATTGCTTAACAATGGAATTGCTAGTTCCAGGCAATGCTTGACTTATAATTGATCATTTTATGACCTTTCAGAATTATGACAGCTTGATAATGGATGCTTTATGGCCTGTAAGGCACTTTTACCCATATAAAATGTCATGCTGCATGTTCCATTCCCCCATGGTTATCTGACTATATTCTGGATGCTTGGCAACAAGCTTGCTATTATGACCAGTTACAGCATCCCCTGGTCATATGACTGTGAATTCCGAAGTTTTTTGCCAGTTTCCAGCAAAAAGCACTCATTAATTTAATGACTGTGTAATTTATTTAATGACTGTAGTGATTCATTTAACAAACATGTGAAGTATTAATATCACTTTACAATGCCTTAGTAAGACCACACTTGAATACTGCATCCAGTTTTGGTCACCACGATGTGAAAAAGATGTTGAGACTCTAGAAAGAGTATAGAGAAGAGCAACAAAGATGATTAGAGGACTGGAGACTAAAACATATAAGGAATGGTTCCTGGAATTGGGTATGTCTAATTTAATGAAGAGAAGGATGAGGGGTGACATGATAGCAGTGTTCTAATATCTTAGGAGTTGCCACAAAGAAGAGGGAGTCAAGCTATTCTCCAAAGCACCTGAAGGTAGGACAAGAAGCAATGGATGGAAACTAACCAAAGAAAGAAGCAACCTAGAACTAAGGAAAAATTTCCTGACAGTTAGAACAATTAATCAGTGGAACAACTTGCCTCCAGTAGCTGTGAATGCTCCATCACTGGAGGTTTTTAAGAAGAAACTAGACATCCATTTGTCTGAAATGATATAGGTTTCCTGCCTGAGGGGGGGGGGTTGGACTAGATCAGGGGTGTCAAACTCAATTTCACTGAGGGCCACATCAGCATTGCAGTTGCCCTCGAGGGGCTGGGTGGGTGCAGCCCACTGGGTGGGCGTGGATGGAGTGGGTGTGGCATACTGGGACAGATCTGAGGGTCTCTGGCAGAAGGGGGTGGGACAAGGGCAAGTGCCAAGGCATGGTCCACTGGAGGAGCCTCACTGTTCCTCTCAGGCCATGCGGGGGGGGCTGGATGGTGGCACGGGCTGCCCGGAGCCCTGGGCAGCAGAGGTCAAACACCCAGCCTGGCCCTTGAGCATCTGCAGCACCAAGCCCAGCCCCACTTCTCCAAGGGGGTGCCCAGCTGCACTCCTCCTCAAGGCTGCTGCTGCTGTGCTTGCTCTCCTTAGCCAGGTTGCTCATGATGGGTACAAGGGCAAAGTCAGAGGGAGGCCCATTCCCTCTCCATGGGAGGAGACCCGCCTTTGTATCCAAAGCTTCCTTAGCAATAGGAAGACCCCAGGAGACCCCAGGATAGGCCAGGAGGAAGGCACAAGGAGATGGTAAAAGGGCAGCAGGGCAGGACTAAGGCAGGACTTCCCTCAGACCCTCCCTCTCCTTTCCTTCTTTCCTTCCTTCCTTCCTAAGTACAGAGTGGTGGGAAAATGTTTGAGATGAGGGAGGGAGAAAAACAGGCAAGAAATGCAGCTGGGGAGGTGCCATCCTTTATGAGGAATGAAGAAATGCACCATCGCAAATGCACCATCGCCTGGAAGTGGCCAGCACATGGCCCTCACCTACTTCACGTATCTGGCTTGGTGGGCTCTGGGGGAGGGGATGCCATGAGCAGCATGAGAGTCAATGTTACCTGCGCAATGCTGCCCAGCCCCCAGCCTGCCCGGTTTCGGCAGGCAACAAGGCACTCTCCTCACAGCGCCAAGAGGCTGAGCCAGGCGGCACGAATCAGAAAAGAAGTGCGCCGCTGCCCAGCCCCCAGCCTGCCCGGTTTCAGCAGGCAGCGCCGAGAGGCTGAGTCAGGTGGCATGAATCTGAAAAGAAGCACGACAACGTCCAGCCCCCAACCTGCCCAGTCTCGGCAGACAGGGGGGCGCTTTCCTCACAGTGCCGGGAGATTGAGTCAGGAGGTGCGAAGCTTGCCAGCTTTGCACCTTGCTCCCTGCTGAAACTGGGCAGGCTGGGGGCTAGGCAGCATTGCACTTCTCATCAGATTCGCACCACCCAGCTCAGAGTGCCCCGCTGCCTACTGAAATTGGGCAGGCTGGGAGCTGGGCGGCCTCGCGCTTCTTGTTGGATTTGCGTCGCCCGACTCAGCCTCTCGGCGCTGTGAGGAGAGCACCCCACTGCCTGCCAAAACCCCTCTCCTGGAGCCCATCAAGCCAGATATGTGAAGTAGTTGAGGGCCATGTGCTGGCCACTTCCAGGCAATGGTGCATTTGCGATGGTGCATTTCTTCATTCCTCATGAAGGATGGCACCTCCCCAGCTGCATTTCTTGCCTGTTTTTCTCCCTCCCTCATCTCAAACATTTTCCCACCACTCTGTACTTAGGAAGGAAGGAAGGAAAGAAGGAGAGGGAGGTCTGTGGGAAGTCCTGCCTTAGTCCTGCCCTGCTGCCCTTTTACCATCTCCTTGTGCCCTCCTCCTGGCCTATCCTGGGGTCTCCTGGGGTCTTCCTATTGCTAAGGAAGCTTTGGATACAAAGGCGGGTCTCCTCCCATGGAGAGGGAATGGGCCTCCCTCTGACTTTGCCCTTGTACCCATCATGACCAACCTGGCTAAGGAGAGCAAGCACAGCAGCAGCAGCCTTGAGGAGGAGTGCAGCTGGGCACCCCCTTGGAGAAGTGGGGCTGGGCACCCCCTTGGAGAAGTGGGGTTCTCCTGGAGCCCATCAAGCCAGATATGTGAAGTAGTTGAGGGCCATTTGCTGGTCACTTCCAAGCAATGGTGCATTTCTTCATTCCTCACAAAGGGCGAGGAACCTCCCCAGCATGCACCCAGGGGGCGGGGCCAATGCAGAAGGGGCTGGTTCCTCGCTGTTTTCAGACAGCCTTGTGGAGCTAAGACTGAATACGTTTCAGCATAGATGGCCACCACAAAATTGTACATTGGCTCAGGGCCAAGGCAGCAGAGGCCGTTCCCTCACTGTTTCCAGGATGGCTTCGCGGGTCACATGAAACCACTTCATGGGCCGCATTCAGCCCGTGGGCCTTGTGTTTGACATGTCTAGACTAGATGACCTCCAAGGTCCCTTCCAACTTTATTATTATTAACCGCTGGAAAAAATGGGACTGGTAGTGTGGGTCTCAAGACTTATGAGCACAATGACTTATGACCACATTTCCAGTCCCAACTGGAACATAAGTCGAAGACTATCTGTATAGTCATCAACTGAGAACTACCTGAAATGAGTTTGCATACATATATGAGCAGTCCAGAAGGGCATATCATTAGTAAAAAATATTCTGATGCCAGTTGTCTATCAATAATTAACTATACTTTATTAGGTTCAGGAACAGTAGCAATGAGAGAAAATAATATGGAAGATCAGGTTGGCAATTTATGCAATGTAAAAAAGGAGTAGTATACTATATTGATAATGATAGATCAGCCAATAAACTAATTCTATAGGTCAGAGGTCCCCAACTTTTTGGGTACCAGGGACCGGTTCCGTGGACAGAAGTTTTTCCGCGGACTGAAGGGTGCATGGTTTTCTGTGCTGCCTACATCCCACCGATGGGGCTTTGCTTGTTTGTGCAGACCAGTTGCTGGCATGGCATGGCCCGGTACTGGTCCACGGACTGGGGGTTGGGGACCCCTGCTCTAGGTAACTTAAAATAATGGAGTGCGGGAAAAAGAGAGAAAGGGCAATATCAGGGTTTCATATGGAACCTAAAACAGCTGAAATCAGAGACTGTCATAATTTTATTTGGTTACTGCAATGATTAGTATACAAGTAGCTTACCGTGGCTGCTCCTACTACAAGTATATGAGGTTTGGATGAAGAACCCTATGACATAATAAAAGACAAATTAATCCCAATACAAATCATAATCATTGACTGATTTCTTAATTAGAAAGAGCATTTGTAAAACACACTTATGATCACAATCATATTTACTAAAATTATTTTCAAGACTAGGAAACCATTCATTTGTTGGAATTATAATAATTATAATAAAAAAATAACCTATACAACTCACTTCAGTCCAAGACTTGATACACTGCTTCATAGAACCATTGACTTCTGGATACCACAGGAAATCCTGAAGAGAAAAGGACATACTTTCGTGAGTGTAAAAATCTAGAAACCTCTTATGTGTTGCATTTTGCCATGGACCTGAGGAAAGACCAATCAATGGTTTAAAACAGAAATATTTCCTTTCACATATACATGCCTGAACTATATTGTAACCAATCCAATTTTCTTATAGGAAAAAAAAGAAAAATAATGTGCAATGGGAATTGGCAAACTTTGAATACAGGAACCAGATATGGATCTCTGCAATCAGATGAATGAAAAGAAATTCCCAAGTAATTAAAACATTTAACTTGCTTTATTTGTTGTCATTAATAAATCAATTGTTAACTTTATATCTCTTATGAAAAGTCATTATAATTTGTTCTAAAAAATTAAACAGCAGTGTTTAATTTTACAGTAAGTCCTTGACTTATGACCACAAATGAGCTCAAAATTTCTATTGCTAAGCAAGACAGTTGTTAAGTGATTTTTGCCTTATTTTATGACCTTTCTTGCCATAACTGTTAAGTGAATTACTGCAGTTGTTAAGTTATTAAAATAGTTGTTAAGTGAATCTGGCTTCCTCATTAACTTCGCTTGTCAGATGTTCGCAAAAGCTGACCACAGGAAAATTCAATCATCAAAAATACATGCCAGTTGCCTAGCATCCGAATTTGGAAGACATGACCATGGGGACGCTGAAATAATGATGTGAAAAATGGATATAAGCAACTTTTTTCAATGCCACTGTAACTTCAAACGGTCACTAAACAAATGGTTGTAAGTCAAGAACTACTTCTATTGGGTGAAATATTTTAGGGCTCTTCTCACCACTATAACCAACAGTAAAATAATAACCCATGTTATCAGCACACAGGCATATTGGTATATGTCGGCAAGCCAGTTTAAAAATGGATGGGAGTGACTTTTCTTAAGGTACTATGTAATTGTGTAACTTCAAATGGTCGCTGCAAGCATTATCTGTATAATCTGTATAATGGATCTTCCTGCTTGTTCTTGGCTAGGATATTATCTTCAGTCATAAAATGTCACCACTTGAGAAATATTGTCAAATGTGCTCCCATATAAGTTCATTAATTTCATTCTTCCACACTGTATGTCTTTCTTAAAGAAAATATTGTTTCACTTTGATATTGCAAGAATAAAACTGATGAACTGTTTAAAGAAGGCGCCTAACTAAAAATTGGAACAATTCCTACCAGTTACCATGCCTACAACATCTATAAATGGTTTAAACTATAGAAACTATGATCATTTTTATTCTAATGGTTATTGCCTCTTTTTCTGTGGCACTCAATTTGCCTCAAGCTTCAAAGCATTCCTTCCCACAACTGCCCTGGTACCAGAGCAGAGAATGAAAGGCAACAGTTGCTTTCTGAAAAGTTAGCTGAATACTCCTTCCATTGCTGGACATGTACAGTATATATAATTTTCAAGTATTACTTCCAGCAATTATACCAACTTTTTCTCTTTATTAGAATTAGAAAACCAGCAATACTTACCACTTTAAGTGAAGATGATTTGTCTTCAAAAGGAATGTTTTCATGCTGTCAAAATAAAACATGCACATTTTAACATTTTCCATAAACTTTTGGATTTACAAACATTTACATGCTGTTCATAACAAACCACCTTGTAAGTCAGCAGTGGGGAATCCTGTTGCCCTCCTAATGATACTGTAACAGCACAGTCAACTAATCAATGCTGAAGTATGCTGGGGATTGTTACTCAGCAACATCTGAAGGTTTATAGGCTTCACATCCAACATTAATTTGGTGTTTTATGTGTATTATCATATTTTAATCTGGTAAGAGGAATATATAAATATATTATATATAAGTATATAAGGGATAAAACTATGGTGCAAGAAAGGTTTTTTTTAAACTATAGTGCAAGAAAAGTTTTTTCCTCACTTCACAATCTTGATTAAAACCATTCCTCTCTGAAACCGCTACTTGTATCAGAAAGGAAGTTTTCTATCAATGGGTTTCTAAGCCAATACAAATAGCATTTGGAGGATTTCTTAAAAATATTCTTCCCTCACTGTAGTTTCAAAAGCTGTTCCTATAGCTTTTTTAAAAAGTAAAGGTCAAATGTGTAATCTGGGCTTTGCTTTATAAGTGTCTAGCTACTGAAGGTACATTACAAATATATAAAGAAAGTATACGAAAGCTCTAATATAATCTTCAATAACATATTCATGGGCAATTTGTTCCCTGGAGATTAAGAAGTTGGAGTAGTGCTAGAGTTAAATCTTAATCAGGCCATTTTGAACTCTTGGGTTTATTCATTTTCTTCCTTCTAAGTACACCACAGCAAAGGCAAAGGAGCATGGAGTATGATATACTTTTCTATCAGTCATCTATTTTTAATCTACAAAGCTAGCAACTACTTATTTCTTTTTCTGTTACCATAGTTATCAATTCCAGATTTAAAAAAAAAATCACATGTGTAGTCCAACAAAGAACACCTAGCTTGCAGGGTTTTCCATGTTACAATGTATTAATTAAATAATGCAGGAACCCTAGTAAAACTAGGAACTCTGAGGAAAGGAGAGATGAAACAAATGGGTATGGGGTATCTATGCACTTTAGCAAATTTTTATACGTAAGACAAGGAAATAACTTTTCCAAAGAAATGTTACAACATTTAAACTCTTACAATGTATAGCTTTCTGTACAATTTTCTTGTCAACTAGGAATGTTTTAACCGCAATAATTTGTACATAACACGAATTATTGGGCACACATAATATGCCATTGCCAGAAATAGTTATCTAATTGGAAGGACTGATAAAATATTTTTCTCCAGAAATCTCAATAATGTCTTGACCACTATTTCCCCATTGCTATTACCAACAGGGAAACAATATCAAATGAGGATTACAGTGTCAAAGACTGCACAGAAACACAACTATACCACCCAACACAGCTATACTTTTAATTGCCCATCTGATCTTGGAGCAAAGCAGGAGCTATATTGAGATTTTTTTCCTCCCAGTTAATGTCAATGAACTAGGGAGGAGCATAATGCATACATGGCTGAAAATCACAGAAAAAAAAATACTCAAATATTCTAAATACAGTATAATGCTTATTATAAAATATGTGACAGAAGATGGACAAGAGTTAGAATTATCTTGTAGGAATGTTTCTATAACTTTCCCCTTTCTCTTTTTTCTGATTTTTAAAATACTTGCAAATTTTATTAATTTTTTTTATTAAAAAAATGAAGTTTTTATTAAAGTTCTTATGACATGAACATATGCTACTGAATTAGGGATATCTTACATAGTAGTAAATGTAAAGAACAGTGATAATGGTTCTGTAAATATTTGGGGTTTCATAGTTATAAAAACAGCGAGGACAAAAATATTGAAAGTTATACCTTGTTTCCTTCCTCCTTAATTTGAGGGTTTATTAGTTTTACAAATGAGTAGAATAGTTGACGAATCCTAGAATCGCCTATAAATGCAATATATTTGTTTTTGAGGCATGCTTTTGCTTCACTGTAAAAACAAAAATAAATATTAATTGGTTTCAAGTATGAGAACAAAAATAAAGTTTGCAAACATTTAAATAGAAGAATATTCTGGTGGGCAAATGCTATTTATTTCAGAGAGATTTATAAAATGAAATACACCCAAAATATTTGGAAAAATCCAAACAGTTATGTTCACAATTGCCAACCCAGTGTCCAAAAAGCCTTGTTAACAGTAATAACAACAACAGTAGCAATAATAAGTATACAAAGTCAAGATAAAAAAACTGAGCAGACAACAGTCTCACACAGCCTCTAAAATACTAACAGTAATATCTAACATCAAAATGTTATCAAATAGGTATTTTTAATTTAACAGAAGATGTAAAATATTAAACCCATGACTGGCAGACTAATCATAGCAAATATTCTATAAATATATTTGGTTTTAATTAAATGTAAATCAAATTTAGTTTGTACCTTGCTTTAAATACACTTAAAACAATATTTTACCTCTGTTTGTATCTATGCATCATACAGCTATAAGGTTGCCATGTTTTGTCCCCAAGGAATCTTCCAGTAGAGAGAAGATATTCACAAGTATCATTACCTAAAGAGAAAAAAAGAAATAGAGGTATAATAATAAGAAATTAATAGACAGATAAAAATACCAAATTCAGTCTAAATATTTAACTGATTTTATGACGAGCCAATAATAATAATAAACTCTGTAAAGAAGCTGAAGAAACAGTGTATTACCCTGGTTGGCCGCTGCTAGATAATTGTACAGACTGACTACAAACAATGACATGATAAAGTGACAAGAATGGTGCATTAGAAGATCTGCAAGAAATACCCTTTTCTTGCAAGCAAAAACTGACGGGACCATAAAATAAAAAAGTAATAGAAAATGAAGAAGCTCTGGTCTTTAGAGTTCAAACAGATAGGCATCTCTCACATAACATCCCTGGCTTAACAACTGTCAATAAGAAAGACAAAAAAAAGTCTGTATAGTGGACATGGCAGTAGCTAGAGACAGCAGAAGAGAAGAAAAAGAACTGGAGAAGATAATAAAATACAAAGACTGTAAACAGAAATAGAATGACCGTAGCAAAAGAAAGCAAAGGTAATACCAATATTAATAGGCACCCAAACAACTGGAGCGCCACCTGGACACCATCAGCATTGAAAAAATCACTGTCAGACAACTTTATTCTGAACAATTGATATCCCGCAAGAATACATTTAACACCATCAAATATCCACATCTGCCTATCCCAGGTCCTGACTTGATAAGTAGACAAAAATGCCAAATCCAATTTGAACATCTGGCTGATTGTACGACAAACCATAATAATGCAAACAGAAGTAGAACAACCATGCCAAAGGAAAGCAAAAATAGTATCTATAGTAATAGGCACATTGAGTAAAATACCGAAATATCTGGAGCACCACTTGAACAAAATCATCATTGACAAAGTTGCCATCATTCAATATCAAAAGGCAGCTTTGGTAGGAACAGCTTACATCCTGTAACAATACTTTTAACACTATCAAATATGGGTAGTCCTTGACATACAACAGCTTGTTTAGTGACTGTATGAAGCTACAATGGCACTGAAAAAGTGACTCTTGACCATTTTTTACAGTTACAACTGTTGCAGCATCCCCATGGTCATGTAATCAAAATTCAGATGCTTGACAACTGAATTATATTTATGATGGTTGCAGTGTTCCAAGGTCATGTGATCACCTTTTGTGATCTTTTGACAAGCAAAGTCAACGGGGAAGCTAGATTCACTTAACAACTGCGGCAAGTAAGGTCCTAAAATGGAACAAAACTCACTTAACGATTTTCCCATTTAGCAACAGAAATTTTGGGCTCAATTGTGATCATAAGTCAAGGACTACCTGTATCTGCCTATTCCAGTTGTTGAAATGGACTCAATAAGTATATAAAAATGCCAAATCCAGTCTAAATATCTGGCTGGTTATATAATCAACCATTAAAATTTATTAAATTTATATGCCATCAAGCTCTCAACAAATTGTTAAATTTGTTGATTTGTTGTTAAAATAAATTAAAAATAAAAAAGCAATACAAAATCCCCAAATAGCATAAGATAAAAGAACTAAGGAAAATAAAATACTGGAATAGATTTATATCTGAGTTTTATTATCATCTACTGTCTGTTGAATCTAAAATATCACATATTATTAAAACTACAGCCAAAATAAAAATACAAATTAATAATTAGATTATTGTTCAAACTTCAATTATTCCTGGCATTGGAGATGATCTCTTTTGGAGAGCAACAGGTTTCCCACTCATTTTAGACCTACTGAAATTTCTGGAAAAAATGACTATTGCTAAAATATAAACAATTTAGTCTCCAAACAACCCCTGAAATTTTTATTGTAATACTGAAAATAAAAATGATTTTAACATGCATGTATATAAATAATAAGAAAATGATGCAATTGAAGAAAAAATGTTCAATTGGTACCTTACAATCAAATGCTAGTTTCATATTTTATTGAAAAATGTTAATGTTTCTATGGTTTGCTTCCGTATTCTCCCACTTGGTTAAATAATAAAAGAAAGAACATAAATTCTTTTTGTTGGATGGTGGAAAGTACAGTACCTCATTGTAAGTATTGAGAAAGATTCACAAATGAAGTTGTTATAAATTGTAAAATATGTATGGCCTATTTCTTCCTAACTAGACTGAATTTCAACCTACATGTTCAGATTTATTTCTTCAACTATCACAAACTATCCTAAATATCAGGAAAAAAAGATATGAAATTTGTCTATGCTTATTTTTACAAAATGCAGTACTCTATGTAAATTGCTAATCAGTCAAAGAATGATTTAGAGATAAAGTATTAGACATGTCAAGGAAGGCTCTAAAATCACCCACTGGCAACATAATATTCATACACAACACAGATATATGTAAAGCTTACAGATAATTCTCAACTTATGACCATTCATTTAACAACCATACAAAATTATGAATGCCTTTGAAAAAGTGACATACAACCTGTACTTACACTTATGTCACACAAACCCTCAGTTCACGGGACCACAATTTGGGCACTTGACAAAAAAACTCGCTTTTATGACCATTTACAGCATCCTGCAGGCACTTTATTGGAATTTATAACTTTTGTTGCTTTCCAGCAAATAATGCCCATTGGGAAAGCTGGATTCACATAACCATGTGATTCGCTTAGTGACCATGAGAATTCACTTAATTGCCACCCAAATTGTCATAAAATTGGGCCCCACTCAATTTATAACTGCAATGACTTGACAGAAAGTTGTAACTTGAGAACTATCTGCACTCTTTTCTCTCTCCCAACTACAGTCTGATGCAGTTTTTCTATTTATTTTGCATTTAGAAATACAAATGCATTTTTTCTTTTGATAATGCATAAACGTATCAGTGGCATGAAGAAATTACAAATAGAGCTACCTAAATCCTTTTGGTTTCTTAGCTGTATCCATTAGAGTTGCATTTTAAGATGGGTGGCCATACAAATCTTTTAAATAAGTGTATGTAACAAATTGACCATTATTAAGATTGCTGTCACTTTAAGAATAAGTGGTTATGGAATATTCCCTTGATAAAAATGGAATCTAATACTACAATTCCAGAGGTTTGTTTTGTTTTTGAGTTTGGTACATTGCCAATACAGGAAGAAAAGCAATTAGATGTAGTATAAAAATATCTTTAACTGAATTATCTTGCTTGTAATTACTCCCCTTGGGATATGCAAAGTTCTCTGTTCATTAATTGTTCTATGCACAAAACAGCTGGTTTCAAATAGTCTGTGCCCAAACTGAAAATGCATGTTTGGGGAGTTTTGGTCAATTCCATGTATTCCATATACAGAACAAAATATGGCTATTTTATCCATGGAACAATACAGGACTGTTTTGTTCCAGACAAAAACTTGACACTTTGATGTGGCAGAAGATAACGAAGAGAGGATGCTGGGAAATTGGGAAACAGGTAGATTGGTGAATCACACTGGAAGCTGCTGAGGGGAAGAAGGGCACTATGCATCAGAGTTATCCTGTTTATCTTATAGAGATAATTTCATTGAAAATCTTCAAATTCTTAATAGCTGAGAACTTCCCTCCAAGGTTCCTCACACAGACTTCTATAACTAGATTTACTGAAATGATTTCATTATATAAATTGAGGATCCAACTCTAAATGGCTTTTTTCAAAATGTCTGGCTTTGATTTTCTTTCTTCCTTTCTCCTCAAACCTCCTCACAGTTTTTCAGACTATGAGCCTAAGGGTCAAAATAAGTTGTCTTTATTTGTTTTATAAGTCACCTTGGAAGATTTTTTTTTTACTTAAACAATGGGTTAAAATGCACCAATAAATATACTATAGTGTAATCTAAAATATTTAGAAAATATTTTAAAATTACAAACTAAAATAAGAAATCAGATGTGGAACTTTCATATCAGATTAGTTCATCAGAAGAAATAAATCTGTGACTAAGTCTCCACATCCAGAAAGGAAGTACCAGTCAGTAGTATGGATCTGTAGCAGCAGTTGCAAGTTTTCAAACTCATTATGTATTCATTAACCATTCCATTGTGAATCTTGATGAAATAAAGGCTCAGGAATATATGTGTTTGGGTTAGGGATGCATTAACATGATGGCAACGTAACTGCTTTCAGCTGCTGAAGAATGAAAATATGATCTTCACTCCTGCCTCTTTGCACTTTTCAAATTTTATATTTATCTCCATTCAATCAACTTCTGCCAAGTACCTTTCCAAGCATACTGTATACACTAACTAATGCCCTTTAATTTTTGATTCAGTTATTAGCTTTTCTCTGTACAAAAATAATAATGGCATTCTTACAAATGACAAGCAGAAGGACAAACCTTTTCCAGTTATACCGTTAACATATGCGGTCTGATTGCCAACATTCACAATTTATGATTTCAATTTTTTCTTTGATGCTAAAACTGATATTTGAATTCACTTTTTAACATCACTACCATTACCATTAATATCTTAGAAACAGTTATTCCAACATTTCCTCATTTCTAGTCTTTAATTTCAAACATAGAACATAACTATTTTCCTTCCTCTTTCTCAATATTTATTCCTCTCATATTTCAATTCAGTCTTTCAAATACCGTAGTTGTCAAGTATGTGGATTTACAGATAAGAAACTTTGTCATTCATCATGCTTTTTGCTTTCACATAATATTTTTAGTATGGATGTATGAATATAAAGCCAAAAAGTTGCTTCAGATTAGCCATGGTCATGCATGATTCACATGTCGTGTCTTCTTTTTAGCTTCAGATAAGAAACTCAGCACTTTTCTTCTTTTCAATATCACAGAGAAAGTAAATACTAAGTTACCACTCTTTATTGTGGCAAAGCCACCTGAAAGATGCCATACTATAAGCACAACAACCAAAGCCCAATTTTACACAAACGTGCTTATACTATTTTCCACAAACCAGGGGCTCTAATCCAGAGACAACACGTGGTTGATTGCAAACCATTTATTTGAAGACACTAAAATATATGCAGAATACCATGAAGTACCAAGTTCTAGTTT